TAAGCACCGTGTCCTCACGAAATCCACTGGGAAACGCGGGCCGGGTGAGGGAGCTCTGCGGGGCCATAAAAGGATATGAAATGCCCATCAAATGCACGGGTTGAAGAAATGTTACAACATGATAATACCAGGTCCTGGCACTGCATTCAGTGGAAAGGGTACAGAACAAGGACAAATTTCACAGTGAACAAGTATCTTAATGAGCCGATTAAAGGATTGGGTTTGTTCAAAGTGCTAATGCAGCATTGGCTCGGCGCACTGGATAGTGTAATTATAATGATGTGTCTCACGTGTGGTGCTTTTACAATGTAACACCAATGGTGTGTAACAGCTTAGTGACGTCTCTGGGTGTATTTCACAGCAGTCGAAAAGGTCGGTTGGTTTCGCCCACAAAATATAAAGTCACTACACTTCACAGCATATCTTGTGAAGCGCTTTGAGGCGTCTCAATGACGTGATGAGGGGCTATATCAAGTACTAGGATTATTATTATTATTGTAGATGCTGCCGATGCAAAGGAGGTTGGTTACACATGAATTGAATTGTGTCTGTTGAAAAGCGGGGGTCTAGCACCAGTGGGCGGATGGGGGGTTGGTGGGGTGGGGGGTAGCTGGGAAGAGGGATGGTGTGCAGATACTGATTTGGGAGCAACGTCCAAGTGCTTTACACTCACCTTCTCAGCCCCAGGAGACGACAGGATTTCAATATCGCTTATTATTATTATATATAATACCCCATACACCATTCGAAAAGAGAACGGAGTTTCTCCCTTTCTTATATATAATATATACATAATAATAATACTTGCATTTGATATGACTCCTTATCACATCTTTGAGATGCTTCAAAGCGCTTCGCTGCAAAGTGAATTGACTGTATATTTTGTGGGCGAAACGAATACTGTATGTACAGCGAAGCGTAGTTTCCAATTTCCATACAGTACTGGGTATGTGAGTGGCACCAGCTCTGGTTGGAAGGGGCCTGGTTGTAGCTTTACGAAGGGGTGGGTCCTCCTCACCGCCCAGGGCAACACATGATACGTACAAGCTGCTTGGCTCCTAATAACCTAATGTAACCCCTCTGTTCTGAACTCACTGAACTGGGGGTGGGTTGTGGGTTGTGTGTTGCCTGTGCCTTCCGAGGCGGTGCTCGCTCATTGCTGACACAGAAATAGGGGTGGTCCTGGGAGTGCAAGGCACGGAATCAGGAGACCTCATGGCGAACAAAAAAACAGCATGATCATATTAAAGGAAAACTCCCCCAGAGCAGCCAATCAGATCAGAAAGTTAGCACGGACCACGGCAAGTCTGCTTAACCAATTGCACCCTAGACTTTTAGTCTGGGATTGAAGAAGGTGTGGGGGTTGGTGGTGGTGGGGGAGTGGGTGGGGGGGGGGGGGGTTTGGGGGGTGATGGGGTCGACTGGGAAGAAATGCACTTTCTAAACTAGGGAAACTTTATTGCTGTGTCAAAGGGAATTCAATTGGAATAAATACAGAGAGAACTTTTACACCTAGTACACACAGTATATTATGCTGAGACGCTCAAACGCGAGGATTACTCATCTTGAGTTTTATGTCCCAGTACTACACAGCAAATTGTGTAATTTTACACCCCAGCAACACCGCATGTTATACAATACAGAGGAGTAGAATAACACACGTATTATTAGATAAAATGTACAGGGTTGTTATACCCTAGGAAGATGCAATGTATTACATAAAGGAGTGTCACGCACTGTAATACACTCTTATTATTAGATAATATGCAGCTGAGTGTTCTTTATAACACAATATTTATATATTTTGAATGCAAGGATTATTATCAGTATTATCTGTCTCTCTTTACATCCCGACTGATTCTGTCCCTGGAGTCTTCTTGGGCAGAGTGTTCCAGATTTTCACATCCCTCTGTGAAGAAATGTTTTTTGATCATTTGATTTTATCGTTTCATCGTATTGTTTTCCCATTGTAGCACTAAACTGTTTATTAAGTGAGTTCAGTGTCCTGACTTGTATCACCATTCCTCATTACATGTTTGGATGTTCTTAAGGGGGTGATCAGGGTTTCAGCATGTGTCAGACACCTGGCTGAGCAAAAGGAAATGGTCGCGGTGTTAAGAAAATAAATAAATAAATAAAATAAAACAAATGCTCTCCTCTGCACTGCCTGTAAGGATCAGATTGAACGGGATGTTCGGGCCTTGTCATGAGTACTTCAGTTGATGTTGCATGTTGCATGTTGATGTTGCATGTTGCATGTTGATGTTGCATGTTATAATAACTTGCCAAGACGCAGACTGAGCTGTTACCATAATTGCTCTCCCTTGTGGAATTCTACATTACCTCATACCTCTTGTAGCTCAGTGGTTAGAGCACTCGCCTCGCAAGCGAGAGACCTGGGTTTGATTCCTAGCAGTAAGTAGGAACTCGGTTGTTAGTCGATTGGCGGATCACTTTTCTGGGGGTAATAAATTCCTTTTTAAAAAGAATTGGTCACTTCAATTCACCACTGTTTGTGGGACGCTGCTGTGCTTTGCCCAAAAAAGTATACAGTCAATCAATTTACAGTATATTCTGTGAAGCGTTTTGAGACGTCTCGGAAGATGTGATAAGGTGCTGTATCAAATGCAAGGATTATCATGACCTCATACTCTTGTCTGGATGATTACAGTCAATCTGTAGAAACAGTCAGTCAGATGGAAGGAGAGATGACATCTTCTGCTGTGACCTGAACTTGAGAAATTGTGTGCAATATAAACCTCATCAGAGCCCACAGAAAGAAAGTGGGTTTTGCCGCAGATTGTCATAAAACTGTCAGATACAAAATAAATGATTGTGCTCTTTAGCAATGAAGGGAACGCCTGTTTGTTCCCCACCCTGTATCTTCCTGTTCCCTCCACATAATTCTTTTGGATTATCGGAATGATGTTGATACAAAGCTCTGCGTGTGTTGAACTGCGGCAGCTGTTGGCAGCCACAGATTTGCCACAAGCTCTCTAGATATCATCTGTGTCGGTCATTCAGACAGATAATAATAATAATAATAATAATCCTTGCATTTGATATAGCGCTTTTCACGTCGGGAGGACGTCCCAAAGCGCTTCACAGAATAGACTGTAAAGTGAATTGACTGTATATTTGTGGGCGAACGCGGCAGCCAATTGCGCACAGCAATGTCCCACAAACAGTCGTAGATTGAAAATGACCAATTTATTATTGTTTTTTTTTTTTTTGAGGATTATTATTAGGCTCTGTGTGGAGTAAGGAAACTTGCCCAAGGTTTCGCCCTCTGCCTGGAATTGAACCCAGGTGTCTCACTTGCAAAGCGAGTGCTCTAACCACTGAGCTACAGGACTCCACAGGGTCAGCTAACTCCGTCCACTCTGCGGTGCTCAATTGACTGCCGCGTTTCACCCACACAATTTACAGTCAATTCACTTTACAGTATATTCTGTGAAGCGCTTTGAGACGTCTCAAGGGTTATTATCATTATTATTCCTCAAAAGAGGGAGGCCATTCGGCCCATCTTGTCTCTGCTGGTGCTCGCTCCCTTACTGGAGCTGTCATCTCCAGTCCTATACCCTCATTCTTCTGCCATTCCCTTTGATATTTTTCTTTAAGTTAAGTATTCGGTTACCTTTGAAATGCTGTCATTGACTCAGCTTTACAGCCTCGTGTTGTGAAACTTCTCTGACAAGACCTTGTGTGTAAAAAGTCTAACCTTCCCACTTTTTACTTCCATTTTAACTGACCCTGTCGACACCATTCAAGACAATTCGAACAGCAATCTTGAGAGGTGGACTGGGAGGGAGGAACTATTCCTGATCCACGTCAATGAACATGGATCCCCGTTGCTTAATCGTAGACCTGCCAGAGGAAAGAGCTGTTTTATGCAGTGATAGTGAATCCATCCAGCTGACCTCAGGGGTTTCAGCTTTCTGGTCCATATCAAGATCAGCCACGTCTAGTGACAGCTGTCGATGTCTGGCAGCTGGCACTTCAGTGTAAAGTTCAGATGGTCTCATTCTGACGTACCTGCCCAGGGCTCGCTCGCCTGACATTGCTTTGGGATCTGCGATTGGTTGAACGGAGTATCTCCACTCTCTGGTGATGTGTTGCCAGGCTCCCAGACAGAGTCCACCGACCGTCCGGCAAGAGAAAAAGGAATGAACTTGAATCTGTTTTCCCGTCGGTTACATCAAAACATCTCAAAGTGCTTTTCCTGAAATTGCGAGCACAGTGTATTAACCTATTGCGTGTAGGACAGTGCAGCAAGTGTTTTGCGCAGGGCATGACGTGAATGACAATTAACCTGGGGAGGATTGTTGTCCAGGACACAAAGAGAAACTTTCTCTCTCTCTCTTTTCCTTCCAGTTGTGTCGTGGAATCTTTAATGTCCCCCCCCCCCCTTTGAAAAACTAGGCAGCCACGTGCAACCTTTGGTTTAACGTGTCACCACCTGAAAGACAGCACCTCTGGCAATGTAGCGTTCCTCCATCACAGCACGCTGTTGTCAGGCTCGACCGTGACCTTAAATCCTGTATGGGCCTTGAACTCGCAACTTCCTTGACCTGCTGATGCACTGCAAACCGGGCAACAGGAACATAGGAACATTTATAGCCGTGCGTGGTAAAACACACCCCACAACGACCCTTGTAGAGGTGACATGTCCCTTTGTGAGGCTTTAACCAAATTTCTTACAGTCTTGGCAAGTGCCTTTGGGGGAGGGAACATAGAAAAAGGAGTAGCCATTCAGCCCCTCAAGCCTGTTCCGCCATTCTCTTCGATCATGGCTGATCTGTCCCTCAACTCCAATTACTCGCCTTTCTTTGCCCCATGTCCTTTGATACCCTGACCTAACAAAACCTGAAACAATAATGAGAAAATGTAAAGCACGATGTCCCGAGGCCTTCGCATTGTAAAGCCTACCCTCTGGGCACTTAAAGTCAGTCCATTTTTGCTAATGTGGAGAGATGTTAAGGCCAGAGTCTTGTTACAGCATGTCGGAGATCAAATTGCATAAAGGAGAGATTAAAAATGTCAATGAGCTAATGAGAGGTAATGTTTCAGAGAAATACACTGAGGTAAACAGTCACATGTTTCCATTCCTTATTCGGAACAGCCTGAGATTAACACTTTGCTTGCTAGAAGATTCCACTTGCTGGAGTGAGCAAAACACAAGTGAACCGCTGCTATAACATGGCCCAATATAGCATAGGTTTACTGCGAATTGGGCCATCATTAGAACATAAGAAATGCTCGACAAAAAAAGACCAAGGTCTATCTAGTTCGCCTTCCACCTTCCTGGCGGTTGCATGCACATATGTCCCAAACTACCTATGTACTGTATCCCATAATGTACCCCTAAAAGAAAACTAATCTGTGTTTGAAAGAATCAACACTTCCTGCTTCGACCGACTCTAGGGAGCTATTCCACAGGTTCACTATTCGCTCCCTGAAATAGGGTAAATTTGAATTTACCCCCCTTCAATCGCGGGCCGTGTCCTCTGGTTTTACTGCTCTGGACAAGTTGAAACAGCCTGTCACGATCTATGTTGTCTTGCCCCTTTAGAATCTTAAAGACAGCAATCATGTTGTCTCTCAATCTTCTCTTTTCCAGTGTGAATATGCCCAATTTACTTAGTCGCTCCCCATAGTCCAGTCCTCCCTCGATCATTTTGGTTGCCCTCCTCTGTATCTTCTCGATTTCTCCATTATCCTTTTTGTTCTGCGGTGACCAGAGCTGTACACATAATAATAATAATAATAATCCTCGCATTTGATATAGAGCTTTTCACATCTTCAAGGATTATTTATTATTATTTATTAACTTTCTCCAAACTAATGTTAATTGTTGAAGGTTTGATAAATGAAGGTACTCACTTCGGCCACAGGTTTGACTGTCCCTCTATGTTCTCCGGCTTCTCCACAATAGCCACCCACAGGCAGCCCTGTGGGGTTTCAGCTCAATCACTGTGACAGATTCATGGGGGAAATCACATCCACGGACCAGTTTTCAGCAGGGTTGGAATTTGTGTTGATTGTCACATCATAAGTCATAAATTTTAATCTAATACTGTTTCGAACACACATTACCAATGAGTTATGCAGCACTAGAATAGCTGCGTTGTCTTATATATTAAATGCCCTTAGGATTGCATCTTATTACTTGAGTGGTCTTGTTAATAAATGGCCTAAAAATTGACTGCATATTTTCAAAGACAGCTTCTTAAACACGCCCAAATCCTCTTACTTTGAATGTTGTTAATCTTCTTTACACTTGGCTACATTCCTTTTTGCCCTTGGTAAATACTGCAATATTGCAATCATTTATAAATACTGTGATACACGGTATTTATGGTCAAATGCTTGTCTTTTTTTGAAACCACCACAACATAATAATAATAATCCTTGCATTTGATATAGCGCCTTATCACGACGTTGAGACGTCTCAAAGTGCTTCACGGGATATACCATATAGTGGGTTGACTGTGAATTTTGTGGGCGAAATATATAGTCAATTTATATAAGAACGTTACATATAAAATGTGTACAATTGGCTGCCGCGTTTCACCCACAAAATATACAGTCAATTGACTTTACAGTATATTCTGTGAAGCGTTTTGAGACGTCTCGAAAATGTGATAAGGCGCTATATATAAAGCGCTATATCAAATGCAAGGATTATTATTATTATTATTATTATTATTATATCAAATGCAACTGAGGTAGCATCTGGGAATGTTGAGAACACAAAATTCTTGAATACTCTGAATCCATTGCACAGAAGTACCGTATTTGCAAAGCACATCCAGATTGACTGATTTATCAATGGCTTGCACTGGTACAGACTGCTCAACTACCAAAGCTGGACGCTTTGCGAAGGCACTAGTCATGGGCCTGAGCGTGTGTTTGTGTCTCCATCTCCGACTGCAAGGAGAAAAACTGATCTTGTGTAGGTAGGTCCTGGAGAGACTCCAGAAATACAGCATCAACTCCAATGAAGAGCAATACAGTGCGCTCGGTCTGGACAGGTTGGTGCAAACCATTGGCAACAGATATTATTCTGATGATTAAAAAAAAAATTCCTTCTGGCTTCGTCATTACCCAGCCCCAAGCTGGAAAGCAGAAGGAACTGGATGTGTTTTGAGCTCTGCTTAAAGGAGCCTCTGGGTCTGGAGAACATGAGCGCATCTTTCTCTTTAACCTTTCTGATTGTCCAGATTGTTGTGCGTTGTGCAGGTAAGGCCCGTCTCACTATTGCTACGCTGTTATCCTAAAGATTTCAGCCATACTACCTTACAACGCCCTTCACCTTCAAGCTCTCCACAGAGAGAGAACGTGAGAGAGAGAGAGAGAGAGCTGTGCAGACCTGCTCTTTATAAAAAGGTCTATTTGTGTGTTTAGGCATAAACTTCCAGGATTGCAATAAGATCACTAAGCCGCAGGAACACCTGGATGACTCCTCTTTTTGTTTAGGTTTTTGGTGACAACGTTTTGTTTTGCTGACTTTTGCACACATCAAGACGAGAAGGACAATCTTTTGGATAGCGAGTACAGTGTGTGTAAAAACCCTCACCATATCTAGTGATAGACTTCCCAATTGGCTCCACGGCGCATGCTGTGAATAGTTTGTTTGTGGCCTTTTCCCTTCATTCCTCCCCCAACGTCAGGCTCTGTATATTAGGGATTCTGTGTTTTCTCGGTATGAGTTTGGCTCAGTTGGTAACACTCTCACCTCCAGCTCAGAAGGTTGTGAGCTACAATATTATTTGCATTTGGGGAATGAGAGAGCAATGATTCTGGGTCTTGCCAAGGTGCTTTTTCACGTCAGGAGGGCACATCTCCAAATGCTTCACAAGATTTACTGTGGCGTAAATGTGTATGTTTTGGGTCAAGTTGAGTGCAGCAATAGCCCACAGACAGCTGTGAAGTGAAGGACCAGATTTTTGATCTGAGGTTTTCAAGCACTGTGTTGGGACTTGAGTTCATGGGGCATATATAGAAGATAGTAGACGAAAAGGGAGTTTGGGAGGAACNTTTTTTTATGCAGATGGTGATAAGGACATAAAACTCACTGGCGGAAGCCATGTTTGAAGTAGAAACCCATCAATGTATTTAAGAGGAAACTCGATGCAGACATGAGGGCGAAGGGAATAGGAGGATATAATGCAAGGAAGAATACTGTTAGATGAAGATTTGATGCGAAGAAGTTACTTTTGGGGAGAAAAATGTAAACAAACAGGGTTGATTCTGTCTGGAGGTCATCCCACTTGTATGGAAAACAAAGAAAAGGTTTTCATCTCATCTCTAGAGGCTGCATTTCTCTCCATAACAACATTACCATTATTAGTAATTCATTCATTACTCTCCTTCTGTAAAGCCAAGAAAGGTTGCTTTTACATGAAAGGAGCCGTATGAATGTACAGTACGTTGTTGGTCAATGTAGACCCAGGTCTATCTTTCACCTTCTGACCAACATCGGTGTCTGTTTCTGCACTGTTTAGGGTCTGAGGGAGGAAGCCTCAGTCCATTTATCAAGCAGTATGAGGGGCTGTCTTACAGCAGAAATGCGGTCCACCAGCAGCATCAACGAGTGAGAAGATCCGTCTGCAAGGAGGACGCCCTCATTCACTTGCAATTCTCCACTCGGCAAAGGTACAGCACTTGGTGTATCATCACAGCAGTAAGTCTGGGAGTAAAGTTGCAACAAACAATTCTCATTTATTTTTCTTAAAGGCAGTTTTGGCTTCGACTGAAAAGGGATTCTAGCATGTTCACTGAAGATTTTATAATGAAAGGCAAAAATCTCCCAGGAAATGGTGACTTATCGCATATCTATTCTGGGGAACTCCAAGGTAATTTCCTAATAGACTATTATAGCAATGAACGACAAGACAACATCAATCTCTGTCTGTCCAAGAAAGGATGTTCGAAGAGTGATGTTCCATTGTCTTTGCCATAAAAGTACTCCTTGATATCTCACAGAGTCAAAGTACTCATAGTCTTAGCCTTAAAGATATAAACTTAAACTCCAAGATCATACCAAAATTTACCAAACATCTTTTTACAAATTGCAGAAAACCAGCCTCTAAGACTGATTTCATAATTTTCCAAAATGCTGCACAGTTTTAAAATGCAAGACTATGGCCTTAAGGTTAGGACCATGAGGAATTTCTGGCCTCTGAAGGAGTCCCACGAGGTCTGCAAATACCCACGTTGTCTCATTTTTAATTAAATTCTAACGGTTTGTTGCCTTTCCAATTCGTTTTCCTGTAAATTCCAAAGACGATCAGTCTCGGATCTCAATAGAATATCAAATAGCTCCAGAATTTCCCAATATCTGGGAAGAATTGGCAACCAAAGATGTGTTAATTATCTCTTTGTTGATATTTAATTTGGCCACAAGTGTATCCCAATTCCCCCCCCGACGCCGCCTTACTCCAACGCAATGGTAGGCCTGGAATCCAGCTATAGCCACCACTGGGGCACCAGCTTCTGTGATTCCAGTTGAACTCAGACTGTTTTTTCCTTTGGTTAAACTGGTGTCTCACAAACTGGGATTCCAATTGCAAGTCGGCAGATCCTCTGGCTGCCACTTGCTGGCTTCAGTCTCGATAGTCATTATTTTGAGGTCCGCCTGTTCTGGTGGATGTTAAAGTTCCCGCGGCGCTCTTTGAAATGAGAAAGGAGTTTCTCTCTCCCGGTGTCCTCGCCAATAATCCCACAAATAAAATTGGTCACTCACTCCTTGGCTGTTTGCGGGACATTGCCGTGTGCAACTGGCTGCCAAGTTTTGCCCACAAAATACACAGTCAATCCACTTTACAGTATATCCCGTGAAGTGCTTTGAGACGTCTCAACGACGTGATAAGGCGCTATATCAAATGCAAGGATCATTATTATTATTTTTAAGTCGGAGGGGAGAGGTTGCTAGTTTTTCATACTGGAAACCAGATGATAAGTATAGATTGGTTTGGACCAAAATTTTCATCATGTCACATATTCCATTTTTCAACCTGTAATCAATCCATTGCTGAAATACATCGAGAGATGCAGAAATCACTTGATTCCATTTACTTTCTGTGCACAGATGAGGCTGCATCCTATTGCCATGGGTCAATAATTGACGGACGATTCGAAGGATTTATTCAAACGCAGACGGGCAGATATTATGTGGAACCCATTGAACGGTACAGCAAGGGAGAGGACTTTGCCTTTCACTCGCTCATTTACCACCAGGACGACATCGGTGAGTCCTGACACTGCCGTGCGCGATTGGCTGCCACGTTTCGCCCACAAAATATACAGTCAATTAATTTTACAATATATTCTGTGAAGCGCTTTGAGATGTCTCGAAGATGTGATAAGGTGCTACATCAAATGCAAGCTTCGTAGGATTACTATGCACCTCCTGATCAGTTGATGTGGTTAAACTGAAGTAATAACCTGCCACAATCTGGCTCGACCCCAACATACTCACTTTGTGGAGATTAATGCTTTTGACAAGCAAACGGGGCAACCTGAGTTCAGGTGTCATGTGACTGCAGTTCCTATCAAGGAGATTCAGATGGGTTTCCGCTTGATTTGCAGTTCCCACTCCTGTTCAAAGAGAAGAAACGCAATTTCAAATGAAATGTGTTTTGAGCACAATGGGGTTCTCCAACTAGAAACTCGGCTCATTCTAAATTCAATCTGAAACTTGTGAGAAATGCATTGAGCTCAGTGGAACCCAATCTAAATCCCACCTGAAACTCAAAGACGTGCATTGCAGTTGGCTGTGGTCAGATCTATTTGAAAATGGTCCAAATGTGGGTAGACTTCACTCATTTTTTGCCTCACTCCTTCGAGGATTGATGAATACTGATGATACGCACAAAGGATAACTGGCTCGGGTGACATGAGAGAATGACGGATAGAAACGATGCACCCGACAGTAATTGACCTGTTGTATTATTGCCGAGGTCGCATGAAATGTGCATTTCTAAGGTACTGTACAGCTATTTTGCGATGAAACATCAACACAAGCAAGTTTGGAACCAATATAGGAATCTCACTGCTTTTTTTTTCACAAGGGGTTTGATAGGGAGGTTTTCTCTTTCAAAGTAAGGCGCTCTTTCTGTCAAAGGGATCCGAATGGCAAACCTTGTTATGTTTATATAGAACCGTAGACACTTACAGCATAGATGGAGGGCAGTTGGCCCAATGTGCATGTGCTAGCTCTCTGAAAGATCATCCATTTAGTCCTGTTCTCCTGGCTTTTTACCCCGTTCCCTTTTATATTTCTTCCAGAAACAGAATGACTTTATTAGGTTTCAGCGCTACTCCATCCCACCTAGTATACAGTAACAACTCGCATTTATTATAGCGCTCTGCACACAGTTAGTATCGTGGGTCGCTTAACAGTGGCGGAGCTTAACGTGAAGCTAGGGAGAAAGGCACAATCATATAACATCCAGCTCTCCTTCTCCCCCGCACACATTTTGGTGCACAGCCAGCTGTGTAAAGCACTTTGAGACACCCTCCGGGCAAGAAAGGCGCTATATAAATATAAATTGTATTGTAATTCTATAACTCTGCTTTGTTCCGATTGCCTCTGATCCTATGTTGCTTAAGTCGATTATTCTTTGTGTGTATGTATATCAATAAACCTTTCCTTAACCATTGGTCGATCATTTGAGACTTCTTCAATGAGAAAGGTCTTGCCAATATCAAACGGTTCTCTACTTGATTTTAATTTCAAGCCCTGTGGTTCTGGAACTCACTGCCTGAAGCGGTGGATGAATCAGATAGTGGACCCATTCAAGTGGAAGCTAAACCTTCACACGAGGCAGAGGGGAATAGAAGCTTATGGGAGGGAGTAAGGAATGAAGACTCATGTTTGGAGTATAAACTCCGACACAGACTAGTTTGAGTGGGCTGAATGGTCTTTGTGCTGTACGTTCTTCTTTGTAAATACTCTCTTGATTTAATTTGTATTAATATTCCAGGTTTATCTGGTTTAATAGTTTTTTTTTACGTATTGTGGGATTTATAATAATCCTAATAACGCTCCTTGCATTTGATAGAGCGCCTTACCACGTCTTCGAGACGTCTCAAAGCGCTTCACAGGATACACTGTAACGTGAATTGCCAGTGTATTTTGTGGGCGAAGCGCGGCAGCCGAGTGCGCACGGCAGCGTCCCACAAACAGACGTGGGATTGAAGTGACCAAATTCAGGATTACTTTTTTTTCGAAGGGATTATTTACGTGGTGGATGTGCCCAGCCTCACACACACGCGCACACACACGATCTGAGGGGCACTTGGATGGCGCTGCTAACAGACACTGCTGTAAAGTGGTTGCTGTGGGCTGTGGGAACTCTCGTCACTGAAGGCAAAGCAAGTGAGAGAACATTTGCTGTCTTCGGTGGCCTGAGCCCTGTGTGAATGGCGGATTGTTATCCAGGCGTCAATGTGTTTCAGGCAACTGACCGCTGGTAACCTTCCTATTCACAGCCCCTTCAGCCAATGAAATCCTCCATCGCAGCCACTGCCCTCAATGCATCCATTTACGCTTAACTCTTTCACACCCGAATGGGTCTCCTGCGCTTTGTGTAGCAACAATACTTTGGGAAAGCTTTTTCAAACAATAAGTTTCGCCCCACAAAATCCGCAGTCGCTACACTTTACAGTATCTCCTGCGAAGCGCTTTGAGACGTCTCGATCGACGTGATAAGGTGCTGCATCATTATTATTATTGTTATAATGATCGATGCATTTGATGTGGTGGCTTACCTGGTCATCCAAAGGTCTCGAACCACTTCACAGGATTTGCTGTAGAGTGGAGTGACTGTGTATTTTGCAGGTGAACGCAGCAGCTGATTTGCGTACGTCAATCTTATTGTGTGTGGAAGTGGGGGGTGGCGGGTGCAGGGAGATTGTAGGCCGGGGTAATGGGAGAAATTGCCCGCTCTGAGTCCCGCCTGCCTGTTCAGGCGAACGTCAAAGATCCCCACGGGTTCTCCCGGTGTCTTAGCCAACAATCCCTCGAATAAAACTGCTCACTCACTTCATGGCTGGTTGTGGGGTATTGCTGCGTGCAAAATTTGCTGCCATTCAGTCACTACGTTGTACAGTATATCCTGGGAAGCACTTTCAAATGTCCTCGTGGCGTGAAAGCCATGATATCAAACGGAAGGATTATTAGGATTGTTATTTTTAAATATTATTACAGGCTCGGCTACAGTACAGGGTGGGCAGGGCCGATGATTCCTTTCATATCGAAGCTGTTTGAATATACTACTGGGCAGCTGTTGGGGTAGTTTGCACCGTGGCGTGTGCAATGAGCAGCTGCACAACCGAAAAGCAAATGAATTCAGCTTCTTTCAATATCAAGTCACCGCCAGGTGCAGCAGAAGATAAAACGTACACGCTGCATTAACTTCTCCGCAAAGCAAGAACATGAATACAAGTTCCTACGTGTCGATGGAGGAGTTTCAATCGCGTCAGCCTGGCTCAGTTGGCAGCACTCTCGCCTTTGAGTCAGAAGGTTACGGGTTCAAGCCCTGCATCAGGATTTTAGTCCGGGCTGCCACTACAAGTAGAGGAGCCGAGCATTGTTGGAGGTGCCATCCTTCAGATGAGTCATTAAACTGAGGTGCTGTCTACCTGTTCAGGAGATTCCCATGACACTGTTCGTAAAGAGTGTCCGAGCCAACAAACTCCCCCAAATAAAATTGGTCACTCATTCCATGGCTGTCGCCATTGAACATTAAAATATCATGCCATGAAACATCACGGACATTGCTGTGGGTAATTGTGCTCCCGCGTTTGCCTACGAATACACAGTCACTTCATTTCAGAGTAAATCCTGTGAAGCGATGAATGTCGTGGGTTCGGTCTTCGAACTTAACTGAACTAGATTTACCTCATGGCTGTTAATGGGCCTTTTGTTGTGTGAAAATTGGCTGCTGTGTTTGCCTAAAAATACACTTAGCAGCAATTACTTGTAAAAGGCTTTTTGGGAATGTTTGCTGTTACAGGCATTATATCTAATGCAAGGATCATTCTAATAAGAATAATAATCCTTCCATTCGAATGCCAAATATAGTGCCTTATCAAGTCAGAAATATGTCTCATAGCGTTTCATAAGCATTACTGTGAAATGAAGTGACTGTGTATTTCTAGGCAAACACGGCAGCACAATTGCACACAATTGATGTCCCCCAAACAGCCATGAAATGAATAACCAATTTTATTTGGTGGATTGTTGGCCAGGACACTAGGAGAAACTCCCTTCTCTTTTTGAATATCACCACGGGATCTTTAACGTCCACCTGCACAGGCACACGGGACCTTGGTTTAACATCTCATTCGAAAGACGGCACCTCCAACAATGCAACACCCCCCCACTACAGCATTGCATTGGAGCGTCATCTTAGGCTCTGTGAGTTCAAGTCCCGACATGGGATTTGAACCCACAGCCTTCTGACTCAACGGCAAGGGTGAGCCAAGCTGTCATTCGAATATTATTATTATTACTATTGTTATAAGAAGCAGAGGGAAGAGAGAGTGCAATGCTGCCAAAGAGATACTGAAACCAAGTGATGACTGCCTATTTACTTTAAAGACCTCACGGCACTATTCCAAAAGAGAAGGAAGTTTCTCCTGGTGTCGTGCCTCCAGGCAGAGGGCGAAACCTTGGGCAAGTTTCCTTACTCCACACAGAGCCTAATAATAATCCCTCCAAAACAAAAAACAATAATAAATTGGTCATTTTCAATCTACGACTGTTTGTGGGACATTGCTGTGCGCAATTGGCTGCCGCGTTCGCCCACAAATATACAGTCAATTTACTTTACAGTGTGTTCTGTGAAGCGCTTTGGGACATCCTCCCGACTTGAAAAGCGCTATATCAAATGCAAGGATTATTATTATTATTGGCCACGTAGATATGTTTGTCAATCACTTGCACGATGGGCCGAATGGCCTCCTTCTGTGCTGTAGTATTCTATGACTTTGTAACGTGTCCTTACAAAGGACAGCGATGTCAGCAGAAGTGATATCATTAGAGCCGATGGATTTGTTTTTGTTTGATAGAAAGTTGAAACGTTCAGCATTATCTAATTGTCAGCTACGTTCTCCCCGTCTCTTGAGCTCCCCAAAGGTTGCGGTGGTTAAGTTGATCTGAGGCTCTGTGTTGTTGTACTCGCTGCGAAGTGAACAAGGGAGAGCGTAGAATAACAGAATACCGAAGCACAGAAACAACAACGTCTAGCATTTATATAGCCCCCTTTACGAAGGGTAGCGTCTCGGAGTGCTGAGCAAAAACAAGCCATTCAGGCCATCAAGTCCGCACTGGTGTTTTCCCGCACATGTGCCGCCTAAGATTAACCTCACTCTCTGCTTGCTCCCCCTCACCCATAAATATTCCTCCAAAGCTTCAAGCGTCCTTTGCAGCAGAGAATTCCACATTCCAAGCACCCTCCAACCTCCTGATTTCTTTCTTCTCCCTCTGCAAATCACCTCACGTCAATTCGAATGCAATTGAAACCTCTCCCACTCCTGCACATTCACCGAGCCACCACTTCTCACGTCGCGACTGAGGTCCAGGCTCCGCTCGCTGCCTCTGGCTCCATACCAGAATTGGCCCCCATTGTTCTGGAGCAACGTGCTGCAAGACAAGGGCTCCATCGCCCAGTCTGGTCCGTGCCTCACTGCTGGTGGTCTCGAGCTACTCAAGCTTGAATGAATACATCGGAGTCAAAGGTAAACGAGCAGGACTCGCTGTGTGGAAGGGGCTTAAAGTGGAGAGCGAGAATTATTTCCAATCAAATCACGGCGTCTAAATCGCGGCGGTATTCCTAAATGCGTTCCATTCCTAAATTAAGGAACAATGTGGAAATGTGTTTTGAAATACCTTCCCTCGCTCCTTCTCAATAACAGTAGAGCCCGAAGTCAACAGGAAATGGCGGGTGCAACCAGCATGGATTCTCGCCGAGTAAAATTGCTGTTCAAAATAGTGCCCACTTTCAGGTACCCCAGTTCCCCCCACACCCACCACCCCAATTAGAGTGTCCCTTAGTTGCTACCGGCCACCGTGTAACATCTCACTGACAAGTGAAGGAGAGATTGGGCTTTGCCAAGGTGGCATCAGAGTTATGCCCACAGTCAGCGGATGTCAATAGTGAGCTGCCTTGGCATCAATGCCCACTTTATGATTAAATGGAATTAACTAGTGATACGCTAGCTACAGTGAAGTGTAAGGCCAGCAGGCGGTGAGTAACAATCTTTCCACCAACAGCCACTGGAGCTTTTTAACGATAGATAAACATCACCGGGCAGGACCTCACGGGTTATACAGTGGGCGCCACTTAGTGATATCTGTGCTCCCGGCACGTATACTCCCCATGGATCTAAATTCAGCCAAACGCAGTGGGAGGGGGTGGGAGGGAGGGAAGGGGCTGGTTCCATTGTGTTATTTGAAACTTTCATACAGAACAAACTGTGAACTCGGCAGAACTTGGCCACGGTTGAGAAAACAACACAGGACTGGAGCTGACGTTCCCATAGCCTTGTGAGAAGTGTCGAATGGGTGTCGGGAGTGGGGGGGTTGGGGGGGGTGTTCGTGGGGGTGGGGGGGATGGGAGAGGGTGAAGGTGCGAGGGAGATGGGGGGTGCAGTGGAGGACGGGGTTGGTGTCAATGCACGAGAGTAATCCCTGACCCTCTCCAGAGGGAGGAGCAGCCTCGGGGATTGGCTGAAACTGCACGGCTGGTAGTCGGGTGATGTTTGGGGATGGGGGAGGCCGAGTGACTGTTTTTGAGTCGTCATTTGTTAACTGTTCCCATTCCGAACCAGCAACCAGTCGGTGCTCAACGGGGTCACATTATATTTATTAAGAGAAAACCCATTAATCCTCACTGGAATGGCATTCCTTCACTCAGCAACGCAACAAGATTAGCTCGGCTTCAGTGACCAGAATGCTGTTAACTCTTGCCTTCCCTGTGCTTTGCACTCGTATTTAGCTCAGTTATTTTTCCAGGTCTCTCTTTCTCCTTTGGTACTTCCTACTCGGGGTGAGGGGGGCAATAAGCAGCATACCACCTGCCAATGATACTCTGTTACTCTCCCTCCGAATCCGATGCCACAATAATAGTATTAATAATAATGAATAATAACAATAATCATAATCCTTGCATTCGATGTAGTTGCCTATTGCGCACAGCCGTGTCTCACAAACAGTCATGGATTGAGTGACCAAATTTTCTTTTGTTGGAGGGATTATTATTACCCCTGGAAAGCGATCCATCCACCGATCGACTAACAAGCGGATTCATCTCATTGTGAGTAAAGGCTACCCATAGACCTGCTGAACAGCCTTGTGGTGCCATATTGATCAATAACTTGATGGTGGCTTTACCTGTCGGCCCCTCGCTCAGATTTGAGGCACAAGAGGATCTTTACTGTGTGTTATTTTTGAACAGGATTCCTCAATGAAGAATCCGAGTTCCTTCCGTACATACGCTGTGCACACTGGAATGCCATGCTGATGCAATCCGGTTCCAGAACGGAGGGAATTTTAACCTGGATTCCTTATTAAGGAATCCCCTTTAAGAACTACCCAGTTTATGTGTTGTTCCGTTTGCAGTTTACACCAATCTGACCGGTCAGAGAGAGTGGTGCCTGAATGAGTCAGCATTTGGTGCGCCACATCAGTATCAACACGGCTTCCAAGAAGAGAATCAGGTCAGTGACCATCACAGCACCAGCATCATCGTTACTGGAATCTAGAGTAAGGCGGAGAAATGGAGAGTCAATGTCAACCTGTTGGCATTACAGTGAGAAATTACACCTAGCCTTAAGACCATTTGGTCCAAGAATCCTACATTGAAGCCATAAGCTTGTGTTGACCACACTTCCTATTGATATTAATCCTTGCATTTCATGTAGCAGCTTATCAAGTCACCGAGACGTCTCAAAGCGCTTCACAGGATACACTGTAAAGTGGATTGACTGTGTATTTTGTGGGCGAAACACCCACATACACAAAACACTTTTGATCATATCTGGTATATGAACCACAGCCTGGTAATTTGGTTTTATGATGATATATTCGGGCAGCAATCAATGAATAAATGGCGTTCAGTGGATTGGGCTATTTGGCCCTTCGTTTGCCTTCAAAAACACAGTCATTACACCTGGCAACAATTCCCTCTGAAACATTTTGAGCCATTCTGACATTATAGGCGCTGTTTCAAGCAGCGAAACGATTATTATTCAAGCGCTCTGAGACGCTACCCTGCATGAGGGGCACTACATAAATGCAAGTTGTTGTTGTTGTGATTTTTTTGGTGTGAAGCCGAGAACAAGCACTCTGTTACAATGATCTCCTCCCTAGTTGCTGTGTTCAAAGCCGCCGATACTGCTCCCACACTCAGGTGCAGCGAGGCAGTCAGTGAATGAAGGTGAAGTGTCCCTGTGGGCACTTGCGGTGCCAGTGTTAAATTGCTTTGAGTTAATGGGGTCGGAGCATGCAACAATTCTCAGACCCTTCACGACACCCTCGTTAATTAACACACTTAACATCCAGTCTTCTAGGTGTGAGACTCACTGTTGTGTTCATCCCTCCTTCTTCCCTGTGGCCGATAAATCACAGAATGTCTAAACTGGCAGGTGCCCTAGTATTGCAATTCTTGACAGTTCCGGGACACTACCCCTTGTCAAGGGGGCTATATAAATGCAAGTTGTTGTTGTTGTTGACAGACTGCAGCTGTAGTCTTGAGTCTCTGAACTGAGAGTTCAACGACCTGAAAACTCCTAATACTTATATTCTCTTCTGGACAGAAAGCAGTGAGCACGAGAGCGAAGCGAGAGGTTGACTACTCACGGACCACGTGTTTGTTGCACCTACACGCGGACTACCAGTACTTCAGGCGAATGGGAAGCACAGAGGCCGTCACTGCGCAGGTCACTTACTCTCTTTAACAACCCAGACCCACCCGCCAACATGTGGCAGTCCGACTGGATCCAAGGACTGAAATCTCTCATGGTTTTAGCCTTAAGAACATTCTTAAAATTCAAGGTTACACAGAGAGACAGACGTAGACAATTTGTTTCGCCCACCAAATACACAGTCAATTCACCTTATAATATATTCTGTCGTCTCAACGACTTAATAAGGGGCTATAGCAAATGTGAGGATTATTGTTATAAAGTGGAAGCAGTCTATCAACAACCAGTGTATTGAATCCTTACATAATTATGACCACATTGTAAAACCTTTATCATGTCCCATCTAGTATGAAAAAGGGAGGAAATTAGAAACATAATTGGACGTACTACATTTATTTTTATTTACTTGAAACAAACCTGTGCTCACTGGTTTGGTTTAGTGTGGGAATCCTTATCACTGGCACAATTGTGAATGGTGGGGAACGCTATAAAAAGCCCTTAGTCAAACAAACCTCACCTTTACGTTCCATGGGAATAAATGGGAACAGTGTTTAACCAGCTGTCAGCGAGGCCTTCAGCCCACAGGAATCACAGATCCTGGAGTTTTTTTCTTATTTGCACTAAACACACATTTATTGGTCAAGGCACAAAAGGATAGACCACAGCTCAGCTTTAACAGCCTCCGTCCAACGCAGACACTCGGCGCTGACTGATCAAGCGCTCTGGTGCACAATTGGAAAACGATTTGAGGCAGCGCATCAGTATAACACGCACAGCTCGCTATGATTCAAACATCAGTTATGTTGGAGGAAAATCCACCACAAAAGAAGAATGTAGTGGATTGTTAGAAAGGTCAGCTCCCTCTCTGTAGTGTCTAGTCCAGGGAGGCCCTGCTCCCCTCCCCTTTTAACCGGATCTGAATGGGATATTGGAGAGGAATAGGTACAAAAGGCATCTGTTTATCACACAGTATTCTGAATCTCCAGCGGGAGCTGTTTCCATCAAGTCTTTTCTGGTCAATTGATCATAACATTCACCTGTAAATAATAATAATAATAATCCTTGCATTTGATACAGCGCCTTATCACTTCGTTGAGACTTCGTCTCGAAGCGCTTCACAGAATATACTGTAAAGTGAATTGACTGTGTATTTTGAGGGCGAAACAGATGCGTAGATAAAAATAAAATAAAAAGTAAATTAAAAAAATGCAACTCGTGGTTATCACCGGTGGTAGTGATCACATCGCCCTGCTGACAGGCTTGTGTGGGAACTACCCGCCTGCCCATTCCCAGCAAGGTAGCTTGATCCAGGTTTGGCTACTGGCGTTTGGGTTTCCATTCGCAGAGGATGCGTGTTTCAAAAGTCTTTTAATGCTTAAAGACACCCCATCTCATTCCTCTCCCTCCCTCCCTCCCTCCCTCACCCAAATTAACCAAACTAACCAAGGCAATTCAATATTTATCGGTGCCAAATTAATGCACAGTGAAAGGTGCGTTGAATTACGATAACATTTATATTTATACAGCGCCTTTCATGTCGGAAGGATGTCTCAAAGCCCTTGAATTTGCTGGCTGTGCTCCCTAACTGGGTGGGTGGTGGGGGGAGTGACAGAAAGCACAATCAGAGAGGTTCGTCCTGAAAACCTCTTTGACCTCTTTGCTCCATGAACATGTTGTGGGGTTTCACCAACGTCTCTGTCCCTCTAGATCGCAAACTACCTGAAGGCGGTGAATGATATCTATCAGTTTGTTGACTTTGAGGGTATTCGCTTCATCAACTTTAGAGTTAAAGCTCTGACTGTGAGTACGGCGTCTCTTAAACCTCAGCAAACAAGTGCAAACCAGACTTCGGATATTAAGAACCCTCTTTGCCAGCAAGTGCCAATCCCAACCTTCATAACAATACAGAATAATACTCCTTACATTTGGTATAATGGCTTTCATGTTGGAAGGACGTCCCAAAGTGCTTCGCAGGATATACTGTAAAGTACAGTGACCGTGTATTGTGTGGGCAAACACGGCAGTTGATTTGCGTGCATCGACGTCCCACAAACAGATATGGAGTGGATGGACCACTCTCTCAAAGATTTTGCTCTCAAAGTGCACACGGTCACACCACTTAACAGCATATCCAGTGAAGCGCTTTGAAACATCTCGACGACGTGATAAGGCGCTGTATCAAATGCAAGGATTAGCATCGTATTATTACTAAGGGGCTGAGAGAGTGGTCCCAAGCTTCTGTTTATGCCATCCTGAAATATACTGCCGTGATGGACACAAAATCATTGCCCCATTCTTTCCTCTAACATTGTGGGAAATCCCAAGGTCAGCAGTGATTTCCTTCTTGCCCAGTACACCACTTCACTGTCCGCATTCACCTACACTTCCTCACACAGATCCCTTGTGTTTGCCGGTGCAGTTCCGCACTGAGGACATCTGACAGTTTATTTATTTGTTTTTCGAGGCACTTCGTGTAACACGACCCTTGATTTCAGATCGACTCTGAGGAAGATAACTTGAACCCAATGCACGCCCGCTTCATTGGCGTGGAGAAGCTGCTGATTTTACACTCGGAGCACAACTGGAACGAGTACTGCCTGTCATACCTACTGACAGCCCGAGACTTCGGGAAGACGTTAGGAATCGCGTGGGTAGGGTCCCCTGGTAAGGACTTTTACCGGCTCACGGCTAGAGCGAGATAAGCAGTCATTTCCTGTGTCCCCTTCTGTCCCTAAAGACGGGTTGTAGGAGACCTGTGTAAGCCAGGTAGAGAGATACGGTTACCACAGGGTCCAACCAAAGACGGTCTCATCCTGACAAGATATGGTTACAAAGCTCACGGAAGGAATCAATCACGGACTGAGATCGCATGATTTGGGAGGATGAGATGAGTGTATTCTGTGAAGCGCTTTGAGACGTCTCGAAGACGTGATAAGGCGCTTATATCAAATGCAAGGATTGTTATTATTATATTATTACTATTCATTCGAACCCATCTTGCGATCGTGCCCAGGATTGTTTTTCAGCGAATGATGATAATAATAATCCATGTACTTGAGATAGCGCCTTTCACGTCAGGGGGACGTCCCGGGTCGCTTCACAGGACACGTTGTAAAGCAGAGAGAACGTGCGGTTGGTGGGTGAAACATGGCAGCCGGTCTAACATTACTTAGGCGCACGTAGCAGGAGCTCTGTAGCTCAGTTCAATGGTTTCTATTCCTTGAGCAGATTGGGTGCATTTGTGAGTGCCTTTGTTCAAGTGACATCTGTGTGTGATGAGGCGGAAAAAAGGAACGGAGAGGAGAATTCCTAGCAGAGAACACTTCCCCCCGCCACCCACCCCTTCCACCCCTCCCCTCCCCCCTCCCCGGCTAAACCCGCCTGCATTCCTGGAGCTGTGGGTCTCCCCTTTCTCACACAGCCCCTTTTGTTTGTCCATCAAGTCCACGCTGAGTATAATCTCGACAATCTCTTTTTGAGAAAAAGGCAACATTGTGCGAAGCCCAACATACTGGATTTGCTTTGGCAAAAGTTACAGGTTTCTTATATTTCTCTACATATTTACTTATTCTTTAAATTAAAGAGCGCCTTCAATGTTTCCAGGGAAATGCTGGCTCTTGGCGCTCGATAAAAGCTGGGTTCGTTTTTTATTTTTCCTCCGACGAGTTTTTACATCAAAACGTGTTTAAAGTAAATCTCTGTGTCCACATCTCGCTGTAGCCCAGCTCTTTTTTGCAGGCATTTCCAAAATAACAGCACCCAATGGTCGTGTCAGTAAGTCAAACAGAACTACTGTATTCATAAAAGAATATCCTCTCATGGCTGTTTGTGGGACACTGCTGTGCGCAATTGGCTGCCGTGTTTTGCCCACAAGACAGACAGTCGAACGACTTTACAGTAGATTCTGTGAAGCGCTATATCAAATGCAAGGATTATTATTATTACGAGGAGAGAAGAAAAAGGCTGGTTTGTGCCCGAAACAACCTTTATATGCGTTACATTGAAGTGGCCGACTCAGCAGATACACATGCCCACGCACACCGACATACACACTCGCATATGCTCACACATTCACACTCGCGCGCACACCCACCCACACACCCACAAAGACGCACACACTCCTCCACTCCGACACCCAACACTCGCCGGACTGTAGGCAACAGCCAGCACTATGCTTGTGTCAGCGTTCAGATTGGGACGTGTGCGTCTATGATACGACGAAGTCAATCACATGAGGCGTCCTGTAAACAAAGCCAATATGAATTTGAATTGACATTCCGTGTTTACGACACGCGTGTGACTTTGCATGCAATCTGAGCAGACATGCATTCTTCCTTCTCCATCAAATTGACGTCCGGTTATATTCAGTATCCGCATTTCCCTTTTATTATTAATAATCCTTACATTTGATATAGCGCCTTATCGCGTCTTCGAGACATCTCAAAGCGCTTCACAGAATATACGGTCAAGTGAATTGACTGTATATATTGTGGGCGAAACGTGGCAGCCAATTGTGCACAGCAGCGGCCCACAAACAGTTGTGGATTGAGTGACCAAATGATTATTATTTCATTTGCGAGGCGAGCGCTCTAGGCTTTTCTTTCCTGCTCTTCTGTTGAATGAGTTTATAAACTGACCTTCACACTGTGGTGCCTGAGAAGCATCTAATAGTGATTTTGTTTCTTGTACAAATGCTTCAAAAGATAGCACCAGGCATTCCAGCCCCCTCCTAGTTTTGTTTGTTACTCGCAGTGCGTGACCACTAAAAATAGCCGCCAGATCTTTACGCAGTCTCTGGAAATCCCATTAAACAGCCTCAGTGAAAACAGTCGCTACTTAGAGAGAGCTGGAAAGAAAGACCTTGTGCTTTGATGCCACCTTACCAAGTCAAAGCATCTCAAAGCACTTCACATTGCATAGTGTTGAGTATACTGAGTGCGTTTGTAGGCAAGCATGGCAACCAATTTGCCCACAGGGAGGTCCCGCACACAGCCATGAGGCGAATAATTAATCAATCGGGAGGATTGTTGCCAGGGTACAGATTTCAGCATCTGTTACTGCTGTTTTGATGCTGATACCTTCGATGTCATTTGGAATGGTTTCACGGCTACATTGGGGATAAAATTTGCTGTGGACCTTAACCCATCCCAGGGAATCCCGTAGTGGTTAGTGAATTCGCCTCACAAGTGAGAGGACCTGGATTCGATTCCCGGGCAGGGTGAAACCTTTAGGCATGCTTCCTTACTCTGTTTACCTAAGCAGTAAACAGGAACCTCTTTGTTAGTCGATTGACAGATCGCTTTCCCTAAAAGAAATCCACAACTGTTTGTGGGACACTGCTGTGCACAACTGGCTGTCGTGTTTCACCTAAAAAATACACAGTCAATCCTCTTTACATTATACCCTGTGAAACGCTTTGAGACGTCTCAACGACACCATAACAAATGCAAAGATCTTTATTATTATTAACATTTTCCCTGTGTTAAATAGCACAAGGAACAACATCAGAAGGGATTTGTGGACGATGGAGGTGGGTTCAGCCCATTTGGTTGAACTGTGCCACTGTGCAATCGCTGAAAAATACAACACCTTCTCTTGTCTGCAGGGAATTACGGTGGGATTTGTTCCCGATACGGACCCAGTGACAAAAGCGCATTTGAGGTTACGCTGAACACAGGCCTGATCACGCTGCAGAGATTCGCATACTATCTCCCTCTGCGGCTAGTTCACATTGTCCTGGCTCACGAATTGGGCCACAGTCTGGGATCACTGGTGAGTACCCGTGTGACAATAACAGCAGGTTATTGTCAGCCCGATTCGGGGGGGAGTGGGGGGTGGAATATTGTATGTGATTAATCCTTAAAGGTTTGCGGAGATTGGCTGTGGTGATTCATCGCTACTTCAACACATGTTTGGGGGAGAAATTCCATCTGAGTCTCTAGACTTGATTTATTCTTATCTTCTTAGCATTTTAGAGTCTCCAGAATTGTGAAATAAATATGGGTTGAACTTTGAAGACGTATTTTCAGCAACTTTTTTTAAGAAGCCGGTTTAGCAGGGACCTGGGATGCCCCTTAAGTCAGCCATTTCAGCTTCCTGCGCTAAAGACTTGCCTCCTTCAAGATCTGTCTGAAGACCCTCCTCTTTGACCACGCCTTCAATCATTGTCCTACCCCTACCCTCCCCGCCCTCCACTCCTCCTGATCCCTGACTGTCCAGCGCCTTGGGACGTCCTCCTGACGTGAAAGGCGCCATACAAATGTAATTTGTCGTTGTTGTTGTTAAACGAATGGTTGACATTCCGGGTCGTCAGGCACTGCCAATGTCGCTTCCTGTTTTGCGTAGTACAAGAAATGATATCGGAGCCAACCTGAAGACCCGGAAGGCGGCTATATAGCGGGGGAGCTGTGTGACTGTGCTCAGGGAACAAGCCAATTGGCTGTTGGGCACGTGCACTGAATTCCAGCTATCGCCCCTCGGTGTTGGGATTCCAATCTTCCCATTACACGTCGGGTCTGGCTTCGGTTTGTCTCCCCTGTAATAAGATCGGTCCTGGTCACACAGTCAACTGCTATCTTTTCAAGCACGACCTGGGCGAGGAGTGCATCCCACCGGAATCGTCGAGCCTCCAAGGGAAAGGTGGTAACTTCCTGATGTTCCCTCATGCGTCTGATGGCCGGCAATACAACAACAACAGGTTCTCTCCCTGCAGCATCCGGAGCATCAGCAAACTCCTGAAGGCAAAGAAAGACGAGTGCTTCTCGGGTGAGAAGGAAGCGCGCGCTCAATCAGTCCGAGTGCTCACCTCGGGCAAACCTCTGCCCGCGACAGAAATCCAATCAGCCCAACTCATTCATGCCAGTGTTTACACTCCATATAAATCTTGAGAGAGGTATTGGAGAGACTGATAAGACGGTGAAAGGCGGAGGATAATAATAATCCTTGCATTTGCTATAGCGCCTTATCACGTCTTCAGGATGTCTCAAAGCGCTTCACGGAATATACTGTAAAGTGCAATGACTGTATATTTTGTGGTCGAAATGCGGCAGATAATTGCACACAGCAGTGTCACACAAACAGTCGTGGATTGAGTTTATTATTATAATTATTATTATTATTATAAATGTTCTTTTGAAGGGATTATTACCTCCGAAAAACAATCCGCCAATCGACTAACAAGCGAGTCCCTATTTACTGCTAGGTAAATAGAGACATATGGAGTAGGGAAACTTGCCTAAGGCTTTGCGCCACCAGGATGGCTTTAGGTCTTGCCTGAGACAATAATCATTGGAAGGAATGAAAAATGGGGTCCGTGGTAAAACAGATTGGAGCCAAAGAGGGGTGATGTCTGCCAAGATGAGTTAAAGGAGCTAAAGGATGTTGAGTTTGCCAGAAGCCAACTTTCTGTTAGAAGGACTGGACCTTCTAGGGAGAAAAGTGAATGAAGGTTTCTCAGAGGTTCTGAGAGAAACACCTTAGCAAACAGTTGCCGGAGGGCAAGGAAACTGATGAGAATTTATCTCTGAAACGAACTCTGTTTTCATCACTGTTGAAATCACATGTACAGTAGAGAAAAATGTGCTGATGGAGAAACTGTGGAACACTAGGTGGCAATGTATAGCATGGGACAAAGCATGATTCCCACCGGGTTTTGGAAAGTTCCAATGATATGTGCAGCACAATAGATGCATTGCTTGATAGGCACAGAAATATTTTTATGATTGAACATGAGCTGGATTGCTAGATCCTCGAGATCACTCTTGTGGATGCGATGGATGAATTTGTCCAATTGAATCATGTTGGGCGTGAGGGAGAAGGGAAGAGAGGGGTTTGCAATGGTGCTAGCCACACAAGGGGGAGGCTTCCTGTAGGCTGTAGAAGCCTGTTGGCTGAAGACTTTCAACAACAACAACTTGCATTGATATAGCGCCCCTCACACAGGGTAGCACCCCAGAACACCCTCCTCTTCGACCGTGCCTTTGGTCATCTCACGTTTCTTCCCGGTTTTGCATCAAACTTCCCCATTGATCAACGCTCCAAGACGCTACCCCACGTGAAGAGCTCTACATAAATGCAAGCCGTTGTTCTCGTATGGGAGGGAGATAGGGAAAGGGGATTGAGTTGGGTGGAGGAACACGTGGAGTGTAAATACCGGCAGGGACTAATTGGCCGAACGGCTTGTTTCGATGCAGCAGTTGTAATCAATGTCATTGTAAGTAATGCATCACTTGGGAAGGGCAAGGGGGGAGGACCAGATACCACTGAAGTCAAACACAAATTATTATTATTATTATTAATAATAAAAAGACAACCTTTTGATCCCTGCTCCGCAGAAAACGACAGCCCGATCTGCGGGAACCGGATCGTCGAGGAGGGGGAACAGTGCGACGTCGGGGAGAATAGAGATGACCCGTGTTGTTTCGGCGCTGGCCACATGCAGGGGGCTTCCTGTCGACTGAAGCCAGGGAAGCGATGCAGGTAAGGAACCCGGCATCAGAAACCCAACCCATCGGGAAACTTTCATATCAACTCTTTAAATAATCGCTTCGCGTGGACTCTTGCGTGGAATTAAAGAAAACCTGGTCGGGATCAGCCAGGAATTCTGATCATTATTATTATAATAATAATAATAATAACACAAATGCATTCACATACAGATCTAATCAACCAGGCACACAAAATTTACGATGAGGGTGAAAATATCAGTGTTCCAGTGAGAGGTGCAGAGAATATCAGACGATTACAATAGTAATCCTTGCATTTGACACAGCGCCTTATCACGTCTTCGAGACGTCTCAAAGCGCTTCACAGAGTATACTGTGAAGTGAATCGACTGTATATTTTGTGGGCGATTCCTTTCCATAGTGGGAAACCAGCGAGTTGCATCAACTGAGGCTGGAGAGGACTGATCAGTTCTAAATGCAGGTCTTGCTGCTGACTCCCACACTCAGTTTCTTCCCTGCTGACTGCCGTTCACTGGCCTGCAGCCCAGATCTCCTGTGATTCCCAGCTGCTTTCCTCCCATCCTTACAGCACTGTCCAGGCTCAATTATCGCCCTCCCTTGCATTTGGTGGGAATCTGACAAGTTCAATCATTCCATTCCCTCTCTGGCATTCCCATTTCTGCGTTGCGATTTTATGTTATTCCCAGTGATGTGGGTTTCCGTAGTGCAGGGTTTCGCCTCGCAAGCGAGAGGACTTGGGTTTGACTTTCCCAGGCGGGGCGAAACCTTAGGCAAGTTTCCTTACTTCACACGCAACTGTTTGTGGGACACTGCTCTGTGTTTCACCCACAAATTAGAGACAACTTTACAGTATATTCTGTGAAGCCCTTTGGGACCTCTCAACAATGTGATAAGGCGCTACATCAAATGTGAGGATTATTATTATTATTATTAACCCCCAGCTTCGCAGTCGTTTAATGATCTTTTCTCTCGCTCGCCAGTGGAAGGACACAAAGAGATGGGCACTGATGTGGAGCCTTTGTGGCAGCGGTGAAGGTGCCTATCACAACGTACAGGTCCTGTAGTTCTAACATGGCCTTTTCACTCCTGATGGGAATGTTGGGATAACCCCATCGAGGTAAAGCTCTCTTTCTCTCTCCAGATGGAGAATGAGAGAAAAGCAGTTGACATGGAAGGGTCCAATGGGACTGAGTTCAGGGAGCTTTGCTCTTAATTGGTGGGAACCAGAGCCAGAGATACATCTGCACATATGACAATGATTATAATGAAGTTATGAGATATTCCAATGTTATGCGGCGTATGAAAATGCAAATTCTTTCTTCTTTCTAACTGGGATATTAATAATAAATTATAATCCTTGCATTTGATACAGCGCTTTTCACTTCTTCTAGACGTCTTAAAGCGCTTCACGGAATATCCTGTAAAGTGAATTGACTGTAGATTTGTGGGCGAAACGCGGCAGCCAATTGGGTACAGCAGCGTCCCACAAACAGCCGTGGATTGACTGACCAAATTGTTATGTTATTTATTTATTTCCTTGAGGGATTATTATCAGGAGCGTGGAGTAAGGAAACTTGCCCAAGGTTTCGCTCTGCCGGGAATCGAACCCAGGTCTCTCGCTTGCGAGGCGAGTGCTCTAACCACTGAGCTACAGGACTCCCCGTTCGCAGTGGATTAGGCAGCCTGACAGCAGATTGCGAGAGTTTGGCAATGGGAGTATCACGAGTTTTATTCCCGCCACGCAGAATGGCGTCATCATGGTCTATCTGCTGCTGACGTTTGCTGTTCTGCACTGCAGGGAAAAGTAGTCAGTACTTGCGGCAGCAACTCAGACGGACAAGCGGGAGGGGAGCAATGAGAGAGAAAAGAAACAGCCAAAGCTACTGCGTTTTTACCCGAGAAAAAGCGAGACAGGACGTTATACACAGATAGGGAGAGATAGAAAGTCAGAGTGACAGAGAAAGTCATGCGCAGACAGGGATAGGAAGTTCGAGCGAGCGAAAGAAGATGAGAAAGAGTTAGAGAAGAGAGAGCAAAGGAGAAAGATATACTGTACATAGAGAACGTTAGAGGGACAGAGAGAGAGGCAGAACGATTCTGAGCAAGCGTCAGAGAGAGAAAGAGGGAAGGGCTGATATACTATCATGTAATAATAGCCAGGGGGAATGCTCTAAATTGCCATTATTTTAGAAATGTGTTATCACCGTTACTCAATGTACTGCAACATTATTCTAAGATAATATGAAACATGTGTTTTCTGACTGCGCTATAATTAGTAGATTGCACTTTTTACTTTTATTCCCCCCAAATAGATCCATGAAAATGATGGGGGAGGGGAGAGATTTACTACCACTTCCCCTCCCCACCTTCACCGAAGTCTTCTTATTTTGGAACAATACGGTAATTCCTTTCAAACCGACAGCATCTTCATGAGAGCATTTCACAAATTCATGAGGAAACAAAAGGTCCTGGTTGTGTTTTTTCTTGGATGATATGGAATACAGGGACGGGCAGAGAACATTCAGTCCATTTCATTACTTATAGCAGATCAAAGAATCTTACAGCACAAAAGGAGGCCATTCAGCCCATCGTGCCTGTGCCATGCTCTTTGAAAGAGCTACCGCCTAATCCCACTCCCTCGCTCTTACCCCATAGCCCTGCAAATAGTTCCTTTTCAAGTACCTATCCAATTCCCTTTTGAAAGCTTGTTATTCCAGTCCAATTCCTTTCCCTTTTCTTCATCCCCCCCTTTAATTCCCCTTTAATGATTTTCTAACTTCCCATCTATCTCCATTTCGATCACCTCAAACCGCCCATCAGAGGGAGAGACTCTGGCTCCACACAGAACTGGGGGAGATTATCATCGCGGCTATTAACTTATCTTGATTTTTATGCAGGAAGAATTGAATTAATCACTGCTTCAAAGCCGCAGGAAGGCAACAGACCATGGGGCTAATCTGTGTTGAGAGAAAACGGTCAGGCCAGAGTATCTCAAGTCAAGTTCATTCGCCCACAGAATACAATTGCAATCCACTTTACAATGTATTCTGTGAAGCGCTTTGAGACATTTGAGACATTTATCGATGTGGATAAGGCGCTATATGAAATGCAAGGATTATTATTTATTCTAGGCATTTGAGGTGAACGCACATTCCTTGATTTTTGGCTCGATTTCAAACCTGGTCGGGTTTCGCCCATAAAACACAGTCCATAAAATATCCATAAAATAGACACTTTAGTCTTTAATAGACACAGTCTATTCCATGAAAGGTTTTGAGACGTCTCAATGACGTGATAAGGCACTATATCAAATGCAAGGATTATCACTATTATAATTAAAGACAGGCTTAGATCAGTGCTTTTTGGCACGTGATGATTATCACACCACGTACCGCATTTTTGCACCCATTGTAGCTGTCCTGTCTATCGCTAACAAAACTCGCCATCGTTCAGAAAAATATCTAGTTTCAAAGTATTACGAGTCTCAAATGGCTGTGTCTTCCGTGCAGTGAAGGTGAGAGAGAAAGAGAAGGAAAGAGCGGGTGGTGCAGTCTGACTCCAGTTGCTAAGAGCCTGTTTGTTGTTGAGTGAGGGCTATTTCTTCCGTGTACGTCTGAAGACAATGAGCCACAAGGGATTTTGTTGTGTGAGTGTTTATGCCTATAAAACGGGATGACTATACAGTACCTCGCGTTTTTGCTGGCAGTTTCACTGCAGTTCACGTCATCTAATGGAGCGACAGGTTAAAAAGATAAATGCATTTTTGTTAATGTAGAGAAAAGGGTTAGCATCTGTATCCGTGGTAACTGAGCTCTTTGCTTACACGCAGAGGGGAGGCACATCACAAGTGGTGTAATGAAGCAAGCACCCGGATCGTTTAAAGGGGTCAGCGCAGTCTCCGTTCACGTTCTGAAAAGTTCCGCTCGGAACTCAAAAATTGGTGTGGTTTTAAAAGGGAATAGATAAGGCATCGGGATGTTTCTCCATAACAGGGCATGGAGAAAAGATGGAGAAGTGAATGACCTGCTTTAATCTAATAGGTTGTCGGAATTACGCTCAAGGCTTCCTCTTTTCCTGTGTTCCTCAGGCAGAAGAACCCGAACTTGCCCGTTGGTTCCTCAATGCTCATCCTCCAACACTGGGGAAAATCAGCTGCATTGCTCTCTTTTGCATTGCCCCTAGGGATTCAGAAACATTTTGTCCTTGTGTCATGTTGACCAGAGGATGGTAGTTTGGCCACATGAACTCACTTGATTTGGCAATGCAGCCCAGCATCTTGTTTGTGCCGGTTATTATTATTATTATTGCTGCCTTCTTACTGTTTGAACATGTTGGGCCTTTCTCACATAGGATGAACATCTAAAACTGCTTCAATTACGTGGGGTGATAATCCCTCCAAAAAAAAGTTTGGTCACTTCAATCCCCGATTGTTTGTGGGAACGCCGCTGTGCGCAATGGGCTGCTGCGTTTCATCCACAAAATACGCAGTCAATTCACTCTATAAAATATTCTGTAAAGCGCTTTGAGACGTCTCAACGGCTTGATAAGGCGTTATATCGAATGCAAGGATTATTATGATTATTATTATTAGTTTCCCCCCCCCCTCCCCCAATCTGCTGCACAGGCAACCAGTGATATTAAACCTGATGTTATGGTTTACCCCTCTTATTCTAAGTCCGACCCAGGGTCCCTGTTGCAGCCACGAGTGCGTCCTGAAGGCTCGCCACCGACAGTGCAGAAAGGAGACCGAGTGTGCTTCCGACAGTTACTGTGACGGAGTGTCAGCCACGTGCCCGGACTCTCCTCCCAAAGCCAACCACACCCCGTGTCTAAAGGGAAAACGCCTGTGTCTGGACGGGGTAGGTTATCACATCTCGTGCTGATGTCCATCACACTGAGAGCCCTATTCACTTATTATAGCACGTGCCCCTTGCGTACGTGTCGATGACTTGCAACTTGTAAGGCTTTTTGAGACGAGAACGTTTGGTACCAGGTTGGTTGCCCAGGTGGGGACAAACACTGAACCAATTTAGTTCAGGTGGATTTAGGGGTTCATTCAGGGTACGTCCAAGAATTTTAAGGGCTGGTGTAAAGTTGTAAGATTTTCAACTTGACGATGGTGGGGTGTCGATTCGTGCAAAACGTGATCCAGTCTCTTCAAACCGTTTCCCCTTCAGAGGGTTTGTGATTGTTAATTTGTTTTCGGTCAGCCGGGTGTCCGACACATGCGGAAACCCATCACCGTGCTTAAGAGCCTCCAAACCAAACTGAGAATTCCATGCATCGCATCGACATGTGGAAATTCCACAGATGTTTATTGGAATGGAAATGCGCACTCACTCTCTCTCGCTCTCGCTCTCTCGCTCTCTCTCTCTCTCTCTCCCTGGAGGGACACTTCCTGCTTTCCTAATTCGAGAAAGTATTAGGCGCAGGTTGGCAGGAGCCAAGGCTTGGTGATCCCAGAGTGTGCGTTGGGGTAACTGCTGGAGTCTAACCAGCTGAGACTGCATAACTTGCCATTGATAACACTGTCTGGCAAGCTTTCCCGCTGCTTGTCCAAGCTCGGACCCATACCCATTGGGGCTTTAGCTTGCAAGGTTAGCAGGAGCTGAGTGGGATAACAGGAGTCAACAGTAATGGGGGGGGAGGATTCCCTGCTCCAGTGACTGGCCTTTTTGTTCATCTCTCGCAGCAATGTTCCGAGTCGCTGTGTGTAAAGCATGGGCTGGAGGAATGCAACTGTGGGACTGTGTTCATGCAGGAGAAATGCTATCTTTGCTGCAGCACACCAGGTGGGTTCATAGAAAATTCACAACTTTATACAAACATGGACTTCTTAATATGCAATCTGCTCATCAGAGAGAGGCGGAAAGAGAGGCTAGCACAATAAAATGTAAGAACAGACATGGACACACTAAAACATAGAAAACATGTTAGTACTGTCATTAGGGTAATTTTAATGTATTGTAATATTGTAAAATTAAATGAAGGGTATTTTCAGACTGCTCTACGGCTGCCCTATTACATTTTATTACAGCCTCTCCCCCCAAATAATGTTAAACCAAGATCCCGTCTGTCTGTTCAGGTGAATCGTAACAATTTACAGCGCTAATTGAAAACTGACGGTAATTTCTCCTGGACAACAATCCCCCAGATAAGATTGCCCTTTCATTGTTTGTGGGACATTGCTGTGTGCAAATTAGCTGCTGTGTTTGCCTACTAATGCACAGTCATTACACTTTTCAGTAAATCCTGTGCAGCACTTCGAGAGGTTGCGATGATATGGGAAAGAACAAAATCAAATGCCAGGATTATTTTTATTATTCTATGTAATGCCATCCGGTGTCGTCTGAATGACTCTTTGTGCCCTCTCTGTGGCCTCACTCAATTTTTGCTTAATAAAACTGGTGGCAGGATGTAAGATAGTGTGAGTGGGCGATCAGTGCACTATCCTGATCGCCCACTCACAGCGGTTCTGGGTTGATGTCCAGCTTAGACTGAAGGGATGAATGTCTTCCATGCAGATAGTAACGCTGATTAACGGAAACAAACTTAATTTCCCTGTTGTGGCGGCCTCACCTTGATAAGCACAGCGCCCTCCGACAAAATTACTGGCGCCTCTACTTTTTCCTCAAAACAATTCCAAAGCAAATCTCCGAGCAACCCCGGGAGTGATATTGTAAGCGCAAATGTGGAAACGGAGAATGGCTTAAATGTAAATTACGATACAGAGATGAAGGTTGATAGAAAATACAGTACAAAAGAGATTCGATCTAATGAGTTTCCTGAACCGTTTGGAAAGGAAATGCATGTTAATGCCTGTGGTGAGTGAACAGCATTCCACAGCGATGAAACCTTCAACAATTCTCTGCGGATTGAAGCAGCTTAACGTTTAAAGGCACCAGCGCTGTTAAAACTGATGGCAAAATCCTGATTTTATCCTGTCTCCCAGGGATGCCCGTGCCAGTAGGTCAACATGCACGAACAATGGGGGGGGAAACCTAGCGGAGAATTAGGCCACTCTGATTTATTAATAATAATAATCCTTGCATTTGATATAGCGCCTTATCATGTTGTTGAGACGTCTCAAAGCGCATCACAGAATATACTCTAAAGTGAAGTGATTGTGTATTTTGTGGGTGAAACGTAGCAGCCAATTGCACACAGCAGTGTCCCACAAACAGTCGTGGATTGAATGACCAAATTATTATTTTCTTATTTTTTTTGAAGGGATTATTATTCCCGGAAAGCTATCCACCATTCGACTAACAACCGGGTTCCTATTTACTGCTAGGTAAACAGGGGTGTGTGGAATAGGGAAACATGCCTGGAGGATTATTGTGGATTACCCTGAGCTCCTTGTGGTTTGACATTGATGCCAGGATCCCTTTTGGGGAGCAAAACAACTTATGTTGATGCAGAGCTTTGCACGTCAAACTTCACCTCAAAAGCTTGACATGTATTAACGGTGGGCGCCGAACAAGGGAATGAAAGATTTAAGATGAGGAAACTCTGGAACTCTATCCTGGAACCCCTCCACCTCGCCCCCTCCCTTGCTTTCCTCAAGACTCATCTCAAGACCTTCCTTTGCGACCATGCCTTCGGCCGTTTTTTCACCTCACCCCTCTCTGATGGGTGCAGTTCTGCAGTTCGGGTCCAATCCTCTCATTGTCCAGTGTCTCAAGATGTTGCATTTTTCGCTCCTTGTGTTTTTGGGAGGTTTTTGAAGGCAGGTAGAGAGACACCGGGGCAAAGTGGCTTTAGAAGAAAGTTGGAGGTGTAATGGCTGAAGAGTTGTACAGGATCATTTTTTGTTTGCAGAATCAGGTAGACTGACATGCATCTGAACAAGCAATTGAGCCTTTGCTTTAATGACGGTCCCAAGGATGGTGCCAATGACAATCCAGCACTCTCTCCCAGCAATACACTGGAATGTCTCGTCTCTCGAGTGCCAGAGTGGAGCTGGAATCCTCAACCTTCTGACTCTGATTGACCACTGTGTGCTGAGGTTGGAGCTCAGTCCTGATGAGCACTGTTGCATTTGCAGGAGATCCTGGCACGTGTGCCAGCACTTCATCTGTCCTGTTGGCTGAGTACTTCAACAGGAGCTTGCTGACGCTGCCGCCTGGCGCCCCCTGCAGGAACAAGCAGGGTTACTGTGACGTGTTCAGTGTCTGCCGGCTTGTGGACGACGATGGGCCCATCGCCAAACTGAAGAACGCCATCTTCGACCCTGAGGACTTTGAGGGTGTAGCGGAGTGGATGAAGGTCGGTGGTTTGGACAGAGAGGTTCGCGTTGAACGCGAAATCTTCTGATTTAATTAGGCATTTGCTGCACATGGTTTGAAGCGCTCAGTTGGTAGCACTTGTGTCTCTGGCTCTGACGTTGTGGGCTTATGCTCCACACTGGGACTAGAGTTCACAGTCTAGGCTAACCATACTGTGTAGTACTGGGAGGAGTGCTACATTGCCCGTAGGTGCCGTACTTTAGATGACACGTTAAACCAAGATCCTATCCCGTGACACTGTTGGGAAAGAGAAGAAGGGAGTTTTTCCCAGTGTCCTGGGAATTACCCAAATTAATAGATGTTTCATCTCATGGCTGGGGTGTCAATTTACGAATTTTAGCTCAATGTTCCACAATCTTTTGACCCTCCGTCTTAATGGTTTATCCAGATTTGACCGGGCGGAAAATTAACAGTTGGGGTGAATATCGTGTTCTTTCACTGTGCTTGTCTATGTCTCTCCTGCAGACTCATTGGTGGGCCATTCTCTTAGCCATCCTGACCCTGGGCGGCATGATGGCCAGCACAGTGTTTATACTCGGGAGGACACTGGATAGTAAGCAAGGTAATGTTGGCTTTATTCATTGGGTGTCTGGGTCTATCCTATGTTAAACCTTGTACCCCAAACAACAACAACAAATTACATTTGTATAGCGCCTTTCACGTCGCAAGGACGTCTCAAAGGGCTGGACAGTCAATGATTTGCACCTGAGCTGGGCTTTGAAGATCGGAGGCGGTAGAGGGCAAGGAGGGTGGGGATAGGAGGGATAAAGGTGTACAAAGTTATGAAGGGCTATGATTGACGGTGTAAACAGTAAGAGTAAAAGAATGTATCCACTAGTGGGTTAATTGGTAATGAGAGGCCATTAATAAAAGCAATTAAAGGTTGGAAAAATATCTTTTCACAGAGGGAGGGAAAGTGAGATTAGATTATACATATACACCTTATATAGAGGGTGACCAAAAACTTGTGATGCCATTACAATATCTAATAAGTCTTAAAGATATGTTTTTTTGTTTTGTTCTGGATAATAGGGTAGATATCATGACTTTTTGGTCACCCCGTACATCTTAAACTGATGGGCCGAATGGCTTGATTCTGTGACTTTCCTTGACGGCTTCTGTTCTTTCTGTACCAGGGGAGCAGGGGATGGAGCTGCAAGTTTGGGAATGACAAGCAGCTCTTGGTGACCTATGAGACATTCCAGAGTCCAACTGAACAGAAGCAGATGGATGGAGGCTACAGGCTCTTAAACACCGACGTGCCCAGCCGGCATTGTCAAGCGCCTTGAGACGTGCTCCTGACATGAAAGGCACTATGTGTATATGTGTAAATTATATTGTAACCGTGAACAGCGATTGTTGGTCTCATACTTCATGTCTCCGGTCTCCAGAGGCACAGCAGTGAGTCTGCATCTCTCCCTATCTAGGGAGCATCATATGACACATGTTTGTGCTGACTGATGTTCTGGCCGTTTGCCTTGTGCTACTAATGTTGTTCAGGGAGTAACCTTTGGTAAACCTCTGTTTGCAAATACTTGACAAGGTGACGTGAATCCAGGCATTGGACAATAAGCTCATGATATTGTTATGACCGAAATTACGCATCGCTTCCGGCACTTGACCCAATTCGGTGGCCGGTGCTGAGTGTTGGGCGTTCAACGACAACAACAACAACGTATATAGGGCCCTGGTATCATCCCAGGGCGCTTAAGCAACAACAACAGCAAACAACTTGCATTTATATAGCGCCCTTTATGTGAGGTAGCGTCTCGGAGCGCTTAATATTCAACGTTCGCTTCTCAGTGGGCGCAAAATTCCCATGTCCGGTCACTTTGCGTTCGGCACTTTTCATTATTTAAATGGTCCCTTTTTTCCGGACGCAATAGCAGATCCGACTCGGGATTGCGTTGGAGAAGTTCAGCACTGGGGGAGATAAAATACAACCATTCTCAATGAAGATTGGTCTCCTCCAGCAATCGGTTTGCCTAACAAAGGAAGCTCTTAATATAAAAGCTGCGTTCGAGAACCAAAAGGACTGTTAGCCTATTATCTGTTGAGAAGGTTGCTGCCAGCAGCAGTAAAGCTGCTCACTGATAGAAGGCTGGTTGTTGTGTCTTGTTGATGCCATTTGTAAACTAGTTGAAACAAACCCTCAACAAGGAATTGATCAAAGGGGAGGATGAGACATAGAGACCCGGAGCATAACGTTTCATCTTGTTTTTTTTTTGTGTTATATATTCTTTACTTTGAGACCAATCAAATGGACCACTATTGTCATTTCTGGTCCTGACGTTCGTTTGTTTCTAACCATTGTTATCTTTAACTTCCACCAAAAGAACAGCCAGACGGGACCTTGGCTTAATGTCTTATCCGAAGGTCACACCTCTGATAATACCCGTTGCTGCAGGGGCATGTCAGCCTAGATTGTGAGCTCGAGTCCTAATTTAAAGCTTGAAGCCAAAACCTGCTAGACAACCTTCACAGGCAAGCCCATAATTTCTTTAGCTGGACTCTGTTTTGGGAGAATTGTCCCCCAGACAGCAACAGCAACAACTTGCATTTATTCAGTGCCTTTCATGTCGGGAGGATGTCCCAAGGCGCTGGACAGTGAAGGGTTTGCACCCAAGCTGTGGGTTGGAATCAGGATGGTTGGAAAGCAAGGGTTTGTTCCAGAGGATGGGGGCAGAAAGGCTGAAGGCCTGACCACCGATGGTAGGGGAATATGGTAGGGAGGGAACGTGGAGCAGGCCAATGCCTGCCGAGTGAGATACGAAAAGTTCCAGCAGGTCAGGTACCCAAAGCTGCCATCACACACCTCCACCTTGGCAAGGGCATCTCATCATCCCGCAATCGTTAGAGAGAGGTGGCCAGGCTGAGAAAGTAAAATGGAATAAAAGTATTGGAATAAAATGAAGAGTTACAATTCTGTCCAGATAAATTGATGGATGAACAGTTACAACTTAATAGGAAGGTATATGTTGTGACCGAGTAGCATTGAGTCAAGTGATTCATTCTTATGCAGAATGGCGGTGTATTGAGAAGGGAGATCGTCAGGATGCAGAATGTAGATCAAAGAGAGCAGAGGACCCCATGGAGCATCTATCAGGCTTTGCTTCGAGGTGCCAGCAGTGGTGTGCCCGTGAACAAGATCTAATTCATTCCTCACGGCTTGTTGGAATTGGCACGATCTCGGGGAAACATTTGAGCTAACTGGTGTTTTCTCGGCCGCCGTCGGCTGCCAAGTAGAACACAATGTGAGAGTCACTCGCTCTGCCAGCCCCTCTCTGGCACACGGACCCAAATACAGTATGGGGCCATGGAGCATTGCCTTGCATTGGCTTGAACTTGGCGACAACACAGAGCCTGCTGTTGTTACTGGCTGAGTCGTCAAGGTCATGTCGTCATTGTGCATGACAATGGTCAGATGTCATCGCCGGGCGTAACGTTCCCCGCCTGCTCAATGTGCTGGTGACCTTGGCTCACCACAGGGTCTTGCCACGTCCCCATTGTGGACACTGGCTTCACCGAAGCCCGTGAAATTTATGGGCCGACGAAGAAGATGTGCTCGCTGACAAGGTTCGTAAATCTTGCCCTCCTTCTGAGAGTCGCCCTCCCATGCCAATGATGCCAAGTCGTTTCGCACCGTGATCCAAATGGCTAATGGCTAAATGCAGTTTGCTGGCCGTGTGTTTTGTGGGTGAATCCAGCAGTTCGATCTGCACACAGCAAACGTCCCGCAAACAGCCACGGAGTGAACAAACAGTTTTCACTTAAGAGAAGTAATACGGAACGAAAGTGTTGGAACAAATTGCGGAGCGACGATTCTGCAGGAACTTGTATATCGTGTTTCTCCTCTCCACATTCTCGTGTCTCCTCTCTTGTGACTCCTTCTTCCCCACCCCACAGTCTCATGCTCGTTCCTCACGCCCCTAAATATTGTTCTATTGCAAATATCCATCGTATCTTACATCAGTCGCTGAAATCATCAACTCAGTACTTAATAATAATAATAATAATCCTTGCATTTGATATAGCGCTTTTCACGTCGGGAGGACATCCCAAAGCGCTTCACAGAACACACTGTAAAGTGAATTGACTGTATATTTGTGGGCGAACGCGGCAGCCAATTGCGCACAGCAATGTCCCACAAACAGTCGTGGATTGAAAATGACCAATTTATTATTGTTTTTGGTTTTGGAGGGATTATTATTAGGCTCTGTGTGGAGTTAGGAAACTTGCCCGAGGTTTCGCCCTCTGCCTGGAATTGAACTCAGGTCTCTCACTTGCAAAGCGAGTGCTCTAACCACTGAGCTACAGGACTCCCTACTTGGAGAAAATCACAACAATAATAACTGCTGCTTGCAAAATTGCCTGCCCGCAAAATACACAGCCAATTCGTTTTACAGTAATATTCCGTGAAGCGCTTTGAGACGTCTCGAAGACGTGACAAGGCGTGACATGAAAGGCAAGGATTATTGCGATGATTATTAACAAATAGAACAAGGAAAACAGCAATTGGCGATTGATTCCCTGGTGACTTGCGAGCAAGGAGCGAGCAAGGAGTGAGGAGCAGAGTACGGTTGAGGATTTGGGACCTGGACTGCATTGAGTGGCAATGGCTCAGAGCCAATCAATGAAGGCAGAAGTTATTTAAGGCGAGAACAGAGAGCAAGTGCAACACTCACAGCACAGAAACTTCCCAACTACAGTGCAACTCACTCCCATTTCCAAGGCACAGGGTGGGGGGGCAAGACAGACAGACACACACACACACACACACACACCACACACACCAGTCTGGTGCAGTACACTGCAGACAGTCTAGTCTCTCCACCTTCCTCACTGGTGGAGGAAGCATTCATCTGCATCCAACCCTTTTCTGATCATTTGTTTTGCTGCTGCAGATCAACACAGAGCAGGGAAGAGATGCGCCTGTGTCTTTGTGCAAAGTCTATCCTCTTGTTCCTCTCTCTCAGCCTCCTCCCAGCCTCTGCCCACGAAGCCAACACCAACACCAACACAACAGGTGAGTTGAGTGAGTGAGTGAGTGAGTTGAGTGAGTGAGTTGAGTGAGTGAGTGAGTGTCCCTTTCCCCAGCAAAAAGTTTTTTTTTCTGCAAAAGTTTTTTTTTTCCTCCATCCATACCCCCCCCCCCATCCCCACCCAAAAAAAAACATTCGATAACTTGGACTTCATCTTCAAACTTTTTTTGAGTGTGTTTTTTTTGGGGGGGAACACAGGACATTATGTTAAAGGGTGGTGTGAGCAAAACTTTTGTGGGGAATTGCACTGCGTAAAGTACTGCTCGAATAACCGTTTTCTTTGCAAAAGGGATTAATGAGATCCAGAAAATTGCCTTTTTTTTTGTGTGTGTGTGTGTGTGTGTGTGTGTGTCAGTGATGTGCATTTTAGATTAAGAAATGCATTGAATGGTTTTTGATTGTGATATAAATGCTCTTTATATAGTTTTCTGATGCGTATTTTCTTGGGGTTCATTTGCAAAGGTTTCCCTGGACTCCCCAGAGAATGAGTGTGTGTGTGTGTGCGTGTGTATATATATATAATATATTTACAGAGTGACCAAAAAAGTAGTGATACCATTACAATATCTAACAAGTCTCAAAGAAACGATGATACTTTTTGTTTTAGATGATAGGGTGGATATCAGGGACTTTTTTTGGGGGTTCAACCTGAATAGAAATATCTCCTCCTTGTAGGTTCTCAATGAATGACATTTAAATGGGGCTGAAGAGGTCTGACTGGCTTCATAGACTGATGCTTACCCACTGCTGGGCTCCTGTCTTGGAATTTGAATGAGAGCATTTGCAGTCCAGCCTGTGTTCTGTGTTCTTTCAGCCTGTCAGCAGTCTGCCCTGCAGCAGAGAAGCTCTCTTCCCAAGGTATTAACCCCCCCCACCCCTCCTTTGCCAGCGGCGAATTCCTTTTTTTTTCGATGAGCGACACTGCCCTGGAGGAAAGGTTGGGACGGGGGGGGTGGGCGACACTGCGAGTAGGACACACGAACCCAACCCGAGTCTCTATCTCGGACAAGGTGCGACCACACTCCTGGCCTGACCCATGAGAACAAAGGAAGCCAATAGCCCACCCGCACCCCACGCTCTGAGTGTACCGTAGTGTTCAATGAGTTTGACCTTCTGTGTCCTCCTCCTCCTCCTCCTCCTCCTCCTCCCAGGGTTTTCCCCCTCCCCCTGCCTTCAAGTATGTGGCGGTGTGACTGTTGATGTGTGAGACTTCACGTGTGTGTGTGTGTGTGTGTGTGTGCTTGAGACTTCATGTGTGTCTGTGTGTCTGTGAGACTTCACGCGCGTGTGTGAGATTTCATGTGTGTGAGACTTCACGCGTGCGTGTGTGAGACATCGCGCGCGTGTGTGAGACTTCATGTGGGCGTGACTTCACGTGTGTGTGTGTGTGTGTGACTTCACGTGTGTGGGTGTGTGTGACTTCACGTGTGGGTGTGTGAGACTTCACGTGCGTGTGGGTGTGAGACACTTGTGTGTGACTCTGCCTTTGTGTGTGTGTGTGTGTGATGCTGTGTGAGTGTGATGCACTCTGAGTAGCCACGCGCGTGTGTGTGGGCAGTGGGTATCATAATCTAATTGCTAAATATAGAGATATTTTTGTTGTCTTCAGAGTTTTCCATTAGAAGGATGTAGTGAAAGCCGCTATATTTAGTGTGGTGTGCAGTGGATGCTAATGTGTGTGAGGCAATGTGTGTATGAGTGTGCGATACTGTATGGATGAGTGTGTCAGTTCTTGCTCCCCGCTTCACCTGTTGTAAGACAATTACACGAATGGGAAAGGTGTGCAGTGTCAAGGTCGAGTCTTTGCTGCTTTGACAGTGTTGATATATTATCCGAAACTCCGCGCCAGTGAAGAGGGTGGGTGTGTAGCCTGTTGTACGTCACTGATGGTGGTTTAGAATAAGTCGGACGCCCGCGAGAAAACAGTCCTGTAGCTGGAGGAGAACGACTTTGTGATTGAGATGCGATAAATAGCTGCGGGACGGAAACAAAACCAATAACCTTGGACTCCCCCCATCTCGTTATCTCTGCTCAGTGAGTCTCAAGACCCTCCTCTTTGACCGTGCTTTCGATCTCCCTGCTTCCCCACACCTGCTCGGGTCCGAAACTCTGTCTGTCCAGCGCCTTGGGACGTTCTCCCGACGTGAAAGGCGCTATACAAATGTAATGTTGTTGTTGAGTCGCTCTGAGACGTTTGCTTTACATGAAAGGTGCTGTAATATAAGTGCAAATTATATCAAATGCAACAACAACTTGCAGTTTATATAGCGGCCGCTCACACAGGAGGAGGAGGGAGGGAGATGACCGTTGCACAGTCGAAGAGGAAGGTCTTCAGGCGCGGACCTAAAGACGGCAAAGGATTACGATCAATTTATTGATAATAACTGCACTAGTGAATGTGTGTTTCTCAGGGCACTCGGGACCTGGGTCACTCAAGTTGGAAAAACCTTTTTAGGAACTACATTTATGCTTTTCCGACCTTCGGCATCATGTGGCGTTAGGATATGATAAAGACCCACGTGAGGAGACTGTTCGTTGGCTGCTCTGAGCTGACGTGTGAAAGCGAACCTCAGTGGGCTGAGGCCAGGTGACCGGCAGTAACCCTGGCGTTGCTTCTGCTGTGTTGCGGATTGCGAAGGGGGCAAACTCTACGTTACTGTGGCCAGAGCGCACAAAGTGTTGAGTCTTTCGAGCACGAACGAGATCGATTTCTGTTAGGAAACAACATCTCGGTATAGTTTGTATATAGTTTGTATATAGTGTATAGTTTGAGCCGTGACGCGCGCAGACGACTGGCAGGACGGTGGAAGGCGAACTGGATGGACCTTGGTCCTCCTTCGCCCAGCAAATTCTTACGTCGGGTCATTCAGTTGCCGCAGCTCAGTGGACGGCTGGAACGCACAGGCTGCGGCTCATTGCTCGCCGGCACAGTTTCCCCCGATGCTGCTCGCAGGCTCTTAAAGGGACAGGCAGCCTCTGCTGCGGGTAAATTCCAACTCCTTCCCACTGGCACGGCGGTGGGAATGATCGCCAGAGAGGGAGGGCGCAAACGAACGAATAGTCGTACGAGGAACTGTAGCTTCAGACGGAGGGCGGCTCGAACGCGGAATTCCCCGTCGCAAACTGCGTAACAGGAGGCAAAGTCCGTTGCTTTTGTTTCGAGATAGATGCTCGAAGAGGAGGGAACATTAATGAGGAGGGAGCGGGGGAGCGGGGGTCTGGTTAAATAAGAGTGCTCACACTTGCTGTAGCGTCTGTCGGGAGGATGTCTCGAAGCGCAGCGCTGGATATGCTGTGTAGCGTAGTGACCGTGTATTTTTATGGGCAAACACGGCAGCCAATTTTGCTCACAGCAACGACACCACCAACAGCCATAAATGGCTGTCAGTGACCCTGGGGTTAGGGAAGGGGAAATCAGACAGGGTACCTGCTCCGGATTGCTGTCCAGCTTTATATGGGAGATGGGGGGGGGGGATGGATTAGGGTTAGAGTTTGTGGCTCCAGCCCCAGGTTCCGTCACACTCACCCACCCCCAAACCCTCCCACCCTCCGGGCCTCCACCCCACCCATCCCCGGCCATGCTTCTTCCCTGGTCTGTCAGTGTGGCGAACAGCAACTGCCTTTGAGAAGGTTTCCTCGGCACCTGTTGAATTAACTCTCTCAGCGCTAGTTTTCCCTCCCACGCAAAACAATCCCCTGGCCTGGCCAACAATCCCTCAAATAAAATCGCTCACTCGTTCCGTGGCTGCTTCTTGGGACATTTCTGTGTGCAAACTGGCTGCCGCATTTCGCCCACAAATGCACAGTCACTGCACTTAACAGTATATCCAGTATATTACGATGCCCTGAGTTGCTGTGTCTTGCGGTGGGCCCTCAGTACCAAGCTCCTCACGTCACTAACACAAACCTGAGACCGTGTATCTATACACTGAACAAGCTGGGGATCTGCGGAACGGGTTCTGGTGGCACTGAACTTGAACTGACTTCACTGTAGTCTAATGTACGATGATCACTAAAAGTAGAGATTAGTGTCTCCACGAAAGCTTTGCAACGAGAAACTCCACTGAAAGGAACTGGTAACAAAATCACTCTCTTAGCGATCGGTGTAGTTTAATCATTAAAATATCATTTACTGTTGTGCTTCTGACATTGAACAACGCCTACGGTATGTGGTCGGGTATTTGTAATAAAAGTGGCAGCCAGTTTGCGCAGAGCAGCCGCTCACAAACAGCCACGAAGTGACAAAATGACCAATTTTATCTGGAGGTGTGTTGGCCGGGACACCAGGAGAAACTCGGAAATGTTTTAAGGTCCACCTGAACAGACAGGCGGGATCTGGGCTTAATTGAAGGATGGTGACACTGAGAGTACAGCCCTCTCCCTGAGACTGAAGTCTCAGCCTTTGTCTATGAGCTCAACTGTCCCAATGTGAGATCTACAGTGCATATAACCTGGACAAAGTGCTGCCAACCAGGTTGACCCGTGAGCTCCTGCTGTGTGAAGCGTGTTGAGATTTTCCACTGCGCTGAGTTTGCGAGATCTTGACACCGTTTCCAGTAGCTGACGCTCTGATGATCTTATCTCCAGATACCGTTCCCCGGACTCAGGGCAACTCCATCGAAGACCTGACCTCGGTCCGAACCCGGTTCTCGCTGCGGGTCCCGTCGCAGCCCGACGAGGATGTGTGCCATGTCATCCCAGGGCGAGCGGAGTCGCTGGCGGAATGTGGCTTCAACGCCACCAGCAAATCCTTCCTGATCATCCACGGCTGGAGCGTGAGTGCCTTCGATTGATGTTTCCGGGCGGGCGCTATCGATTACATTACAAAAACCCAATACACAATGACATTTACACAGCGCCTGTCACGTCGGGAGGACGTCCAGAGGCGCTGGACAGTCAGGGATTCGGACCCGAGCTGGGAGGTTGGGATCAAGCAAGGTGGAGGGCAGGAGGGTGACCGAAGAGCGGAGGGTCTTGAGACAAACCTTGAAGGAGACGAGAGGAAGCGAGGCAAAGGGAATGTCTTATCGAATTCCAAAGGATGGGGGCAGAGAGCCTGAAGCCCCAACCACACTCACGCGCTCACACATACCAATCCTCTGGACGTCTAAACACAGTTAAGCACTTGTACTGAATATAATTAAGTACTTCTAAATGCAATTAGTATCATTCTTCTACGTGTTTCTGGTGTTGCCCGGCGCATTGCAGAGAAAGAGAACGCACACGTGGGTGGTGGGGGTGGGTGGGTGGGGGGGGGGGGGTGGGGTGGTAGCAGGACTTTGTGGACACCCTGTGCAGCCTTCAACTGCTATTCTGCAAAATTCCTCACATTTTCTAAATTCTCTTCCTCTTAAACCTCGATAACAATGATCTTTTGTGACTGCAGGAAGATAGTGCGGAAAGTGGCGCGATGTGTGTGGGGAGGGGCAGGGTTTATGATGCCAACTCTGCTTTTAAGATTAACTCCAAAACTCCCGGGTGCAACAACGACGACGACGAATTACATTCGTATAGAACCTCCCACGTCGCCCGGCTTCCTCTTACAATCCTTCATTCCAAATGTTGTAAATCAACTCGGTGAAAAGTTAATCAACACACGCGACGACAGAGGCTTTTCATGTAAAAATAAACGGCTTTACAAAACATAATTGATCAGAAATCTGCCAAGCTCTGTTATGTAGGCAAATGGGGCAGCTAATATGCCTCCCCCCCCACTCCTCCCACCCCACCAGCAATGTCCCATAAACAATAATGAGATCATGTAACTGAGAGCTTCTGTTACCAGTGAATGTGAGTGTGTCCCTCCGACGTGAAAGGCATTCTATACAAATGTCATTTGGTGGTTCCCGTTGTTGTTGTTGCCTTGCCCACTCTTTGAGATCTTCTTCAGATCGCAACTGAAGGCTTAGGGTCACCTCCCCTTTCTCAACCGGCTCGGCGTTAAATTAGGTCATTATTCAGCGCTCCGAGACCCCTGTCCGCGTGAAGGGCGCTGTATGTGCAAGTTCTTGTTGTTGACGTACGTAACATGCTCCTCATTTGTCGCCGCTGTACCTCGATACAACGTAATGACTCCTGCATTTCACATTGACAGGTGAGCGGGATGTTTGAGAGCTGGATTCACAAGTTAGTGACTGCCCTGTACCAGAGGGAGCCTGCTGCCAATGTCCTGGTTGTGGACTGGCTCAATCGCGCCCACCAGCATTACCCAATTGCTGCTCAAAACACCGTGCTGGTCGGTGAAGACATTGCAAAGTTCCTCAACTGGATAAAGGTAAGGACTTGAAGTAGAGATCCTGCATTTCTATAGGACTTTATCACTTTGAGTTGTATTTTACAATAATTACAATCAAGTGTGGTGACTGTATTTTTGTTGGGGAAATGTGGCAACCATTACGCACGAACTCACGCATGCACACGCACACACACATGCATACAGAAAGACACTACATCAAATGCAAGAGTTATTCATTTATTCTCATTACTAGTAATATTGCTGTAGGATTGTTAATGTCCATCCGTGCAGACAGAAGGGACCTTGATTGGAATTGCTAACTGATAATGTCAGCCGAGATTGTGAGCTCAAGTCACAGATGGAGCTTGAACCCACATCCTTCTGACTTAGAGGCGGGAATGCTGAAGAGTCAGCCAGGCATCCTTTGGTAGATGCTAGCCCCGGCTAAATCATTGCTTCGTGTTGCCTCAATCTCTTACTCCTTTACCTAATTGGACCAATGCTTTTGTGCTTCCACAGGAACTGGTGAACGTTACACTCGATAATGTCCACCTCATCGGGTACAGCCTTGGAGCTCACGTGGCCGGTTTTGCAGGGAGTCACGTAGCCAATAAGATAGGCAGGATTACAGGTAATAATGCTGAAGATATGAATGTCTCATGTTGGCTTGTCGGACGTATTTACTGAAGATGTATCACTCTGGACAGAGTAACTTTGTCTTTCAAGATCATCGGACTTTGAAATTCCTGCCGTTTTAGTTCAACAATGTGCCATTATGCACTCGTCTGTCTCCATTCCCTGAGCGACTAGAAGTTGCTTTGGTGAGGTTTGGTATCTTATTACACGTACAAGGACATTCCAGCCACAAGGACGTTCTGGCTGTGTTGGGCAGCCTGGTGGCAGAACGTGGAGCTGTGGGAACCGACCCTCACTAAACACAATCAGCAGAACGGTCTTGCCACAGGCACCGTAGAATCATGGAATCTTACAGCACAGAAGGAGGCCATTCGGCCCATCGTGCTTGTGCTGGCTGTTTGAAAGAGCGACCCAATGAAGCCCACTCCCTGCTTTTTCCCCGTATCCTTGCAATTTTTTTTTCTTTTCAAGTAAATAACCAATTCCCTCTTGAAAGAATTTACTTCCATGTCCAACAATGAGGAGCTTTTTCCGAACGGCTACCATCCCTGCTCTCCTTAGTCAGGTTGTGGTTGGCGATCTGAATTTGCTGTTGTTGCTGCTGCTGCTGCTGCTGCTGCTGCTGTTGTTGTTGTTGTTGTGCTTGTGGCCACGATGCTCAATTAAAGTGAGTTCCTATTTTTGGCTGAGATTTGCCATTGCGTGAGACTGGTCGAGACCTGTAAGCAAGTCACAGAGATGTGAAAGATGCAGACTCCATGACGGAAGAAGCTAACTTTTAAATGTGGCAAATGAAATGTGTACTTAAAAAAAAAATTAAAAGTGTGAGGGTGGGGGGGCAATGTGATAATTATTTTATGAGAATGTGATTGGTTTCAGGACTGGATCCGGCCGGTCCGGTGTTTGAAGGTGTCCACGCTCACAGCCGACTTTCTCCTGACGATGCTGCCTTTGTGGACGTGCTCCACACTTTCACCCGAGAATCCCTGGGGATGAGCATCGGGATCCGGCAGCCGATTGGACACGTGGACATCTACCCCAACGGGGGCAGCTTCCAGCCTGGATGTGACCTCCAAAAGGCAGTGAACAACATTGCCACCTATGGCATCTACGGTAAGAGAGTGGGCATGGAGACTGGTGTGGTATCTCTGGGCTACGGGTTCTGATCCTGTCTGGACCTGATTGAACGAAATGATTTCTTACGAGGATGTAAATCGAGTTTGGTTCAAACCTGACCTTGATTCTTTACACAAACTGTCGCAATGTTGCACGTCTCTTGTCAGAGAGACCATCGCAGTGAGAAATATCGCACTGATGTAGAAGGGATGTGCGTTCTGACCTCAACTGTTGGCAAATGGGCCAGAGAAAGAGTAGCTTTGCTATGCACCTAATTTGAGCTCCAAACTAAGCACACAGTTGAAAGGGGCTCCTTAACGTAGTGGTTAGTGCCCTTTCTCCACACGCCTCTCTGTTTGCCTCGCAGTAAGTAGGAACCCGGTTCTTAATCGATTGGTGGATCACTTTCCGGAGGTAATAATCCCTTCAAAAAAAAATTAAAAATTGGTCACTCAATCCACGACTGTTTGTGACAATTGGGTGCACAGTCAATCTACTTTACAATGTATTCTGTGAAGCTCTTTGAGATGTTTTCGCGACGGGGTAAGTCGCTGTATCAAATGCATATTCTTATTCTTATTAGTGTTCAGCATTTGTTCGTGTTTTGTTTCACAGCGTTCTCGGAGGCTGTGAAGTGCGAGCACGAACGGTCGATCCACCTGTTCATCGATTCGCTGCTCTACATGGACCAGCCCTGCACAGCCTATCGCTGCAGCAGCCACAGCGCATTTGAGAAGGGAATGTGTCTGAACTGCCGTAAGAACCGCTGCAACACACTGGGCTACAACGCCAACCCTGTCCGCAGTGTCAGGCACAACAGGATGTATCTGAAGACCCGGGCGGACATGCCCTTCCGAGGTGGGCAAACCCGCAGCTCTCTTGACTTTGAGTGATCGGTAATTGGACAGAACCGAAATAGGTCATTATCCATTTGAGAGGTTATCTTGAAATGGACAACGATAATAATAATAATAATAATACTTGCATTTGATACAGCGCCTGATCAAGTGTTCGAGACGTCTCAAAGCGCTCCGCAGGGTATACTGTAAAGTGAATCACCTGCGTACTTTGTGGGCGAAACGAACAATCTGATGGTTGGGAGAATCTCTTGCTATGTTATTGCATCTTTGCAGTCTTCAGAACCGTTCTGAAAATCAAACGTAATTTACACTTGCACGGGCGACTTACACATCAGGAGGACAGCTCAAAGCGCTTTGCACCGCTAAAAAAAAAAGAAAAAAAATCTCGACGACTGTGTTTTTTCTCCCCCTTTCATCTGCTGGCTTCTTCCCACCTTGCTCAGTCTAAGCAACTTACCACAATCCATGCGAAGAGCTTTGAGGCTTCCTCTTGCGTACGCGTGAGATGTTGTGTTGATTTTTCTCCCGTCTCCTCGGTGGGGGGACCGTTAGAATTTCTTTGAGCTCTGCTGGGAACAAGCACCTGGCAATGCAAGTGCTGTTTGGTTAAGTCGCAGCCACAGAAGCCAAGCAATCCCCCAGATAAAATCGGTCACTCGTCTCATAGCTATTTGTGGGACATCGCTTTGCGCACATTCGCTGCCCTGTTCGCTTACGAAATACACAGTCACTCCACTCTATTGGAATGAACACGCGAGATGTTTTAACATTACAGGTGCCATATCAATTACAAGGGTTATTGTTATATCAGCTAACTCAGCCCAGACCATGGATTGACCCTGGGACCTTCCCTGTCTCAATGGCACAGTGCAGTGTACTTTGGGGAGAACGATGGAATTTAAACTATTTGCCTTTTTCATTCATGTCTGGCTAGCGCTTTGCTGGAACTTACAGCGTATCAGTTACACAGTAAATCACTTTCCCATGAAACTCCACTGTGCTAAAATGCTTCATGCAAGATCATTGGTCTGAGCCAAGTTGCAATGTATTAATACCACAGAGAACATGTCGGAATGTGTGTAATTGTATAGAGTATATGCCGCACAAAATTGTACATCAGTGAATTACACACCAGACTCTATTATATAGAACACTGAACATGGTTCTTATGCTGTGGAATACATACCCAACATAGACTAGATATTCAGACAGACGTTTTGTTCACTGGGAGGACCCCACAAACATAACTGATTAATCTGGAGAATCATTGGCCCCCACGACGGGAAAATCTCCCTTTCCAAACAGCGTCATGAATAGTCCATGTTTTTATCGTCTCGCCCGATGGACAGTCTCCACAATAGTACAGTTCTATTTCCCCCACCCACCCCACTCCCAATGCTGCACTGGAGCGTCAGCCAGGACTGTGAGCTGAAGTACAAACATCGGGCTTGAACCCATAGCCCAGAGGCCAGAGTGCACCTCTGACATTGAGCGAGACTGACACTGCCTCTGTTGTATGGAGGATTCACCTCGTTGCCCATGGCTGCCTCGCTGCTCTCAACGGGTTTGAATGCAGAACTTGAGGTCCGGAAACATTTCCTTGCACAGAAAGATTTGTGAATATGTGGAATAGTCTGGTCCAGGAAGCTGTGATAATAATAATAATAATAATAATAATAATAATAATGCTTGCATTTGATATAGCGCCTTATCAGTTCATTGAGACGTCTCAAAGTGCTTCCCAGAATATACTGTAAAGTGGCTTTTGTGGATGAGGGTGTTTAGTGGACCAGGCTTGATATGGAGTGAATGGCCTCGTCCTGTGCCTGGGTTCCTATGTTCCTAAGCTCACTGAGTGCAGGCTCGGAGCAAATCTGATTGTGTTTCCTTCAGACTGTTGTGTGCTTCCATCAATCTCGGAGCTGGTGGTTGTGGAGGGACAAATGAGAGGGGAAACCAAAAGATTTGCACAGCCTCATTAGAAGGCAACGTACCCTCAAAATCACAAAGAACCCCCGTGAGATGTCTTTACCCGATAACATTGTCCAGTTACAGCTAGTCCCGTAGCTGGCAAGCAAGAGACCTGGGTTCGATTCTCAGCAGGGTGCAACCTTGGGCAAGTTTCCTTACTCCACACGCCTGATAATAATCCCTCAAGAAAGAACAATAATAATAATTTGGTCACTTCAATCCACGACTGTTTGTGGGATGCTACTGTGCGCAATTGGCTGCCGTGTTTCGCCCACAAAAATACAGTCAATTCACTTTACAGTGTATTCTGTGAAGCGCTTTGAGACGTCTCGAAGATGTGAAAAGCGTTTGGAGTCCTGTAGCTCAGTGGTTAGAGCACTCGCATTGCAATTCCAGGCAGAGGGCGAAACCTTGGGCAAGTTTCCTTACTCCACACAGAGCCTAATAGTAATCTCTACAAAACAAAAAACAATAATAAAATTGGTCATTTTCAATCTACGACTCTTTGTGGGACATTGCTGTGGGCAATTGGCTGCCGCGTTCGCCCAAAAATATTCAGTCAATTCACTTTACAGTGTGTTCTGTGAAGCGCTTTGGGACGTCCTCCCGACGTGAAAAGCGCTATATCAAATGCAAGGATTATTATTATTATTATATCAAACACAAGGATTATTATTATTATTATTCCCTGCTAACGAACTCTTTTCCTTTCCAGTTTACCACTACCAGCTGAAGATTCACTTCTCCAGCAAAATCAACCACTCCGACATCAATCCCCGACTATCTGTATCCCTGTACGGCACCAAGGACGAGGTGGAGAACCTTCACATTGACATGTGAGTATGTGTCTGTGTCACCCTGTAGCAAGGATAGCTGGAGGGGTGCCCCAGCTCCAGTGGTGAAAGGCCACTGATAATCCACTGTGACACCGAGTATCTCTCAGGCGGCTCACAAGGCCTAATTCCTCATGGTTTTAGGTTTAAGGCTGAAAGATTTTACAGGCTAAGACCAGGTGGAAATTTAGGCCTCAGGTGTGTAATAGAGCAGTCGTTCCAATCCAATTGTGATAAACCACTACCAATTCTGAATGGAAATATTGTGGAGTCCCGTAGCATAGGGGTCAGAACGCTCGCCTCGCAAGCGAGAGGACCTGGGCTCGATTCCTGGGCAGGACCAAGCCTTAGGCAAGATTCCTTACTCCACACGTCTCTGTTTACCCAGCAGTAATTAGGAACCCGGTTACTAGTCGATTGGCGGATCACTTTCCAGGAGCAGTAATGCCTCAAAAAAAGAGAAAAAAAAGTGGTCGTTCAATCCACGACTGTTTGCGGGACGCTGCTGTGCGCAACTGGCTGCCGCGTTTCGCCCACAAAATACACAGTCAATCGACCTTGCAGTGTATTCTGTGAAGCGCTTTGAGGCGTCTCAATGACGTGATAAGGCGCTATAGCAAATGCAAGGATTATATTTATAACATTTCTTCCCGACGCCATTAGAAAAGAGAAGTTTGCACCAAACAAGACCCATTCCTTCCTGGTCGTGACGGAGACGGACATTGGGGATCTGCTGTTGATTAAGTTCAAGTGGGAGACATCCAGTTCCTGGGACTCGCTGTGGGAACAGGTAAAAAATTCCATCTCCTGGGCCAAGCTGCCGTTCTGGACGTCTTCAGTGGTTTCCAGTTCCGATATCCATGTTCGCAGGATCCGAGTGAAGTCTGGAGAGATGCAGAAAAAGTGAGTATGCGCTGGGTCAGAGGCACAACTGTTACAAAGCCAATTTGTGCTGTTAAGAAATGTGTTACGATGGGGTTTCACTGTGCAAAAGGATATGGCGATTGAGCAAAGAGAGTGTGATCGGACTGGTTCATGTGGAGAGAAGCACTAGACAGACTTGGGGCCAGTTTCTGTGCTCCGATGTTCTGGGATTCCTTGCAAGCGAGACCTGGGTTTGATTCCCGGCAGGTCAGGGCGAAACCTTGGGCAAGTTTCCTTACTCCACACGCCTGATAATAATCCCTCAAGAAAAAAAATAATAATAATTTGGTCACTTCAATCCACGACTGTTTGTGGGACACTGCTGTGCGCAATTGGCTGCCACGTTCCGCCTATGAAATATGCAGTCAATTCACTTTCTAGTCTGTGAAGCGCTTTGAGACGTCTGGAAGACGTGAAAAGCGCTATATCAAATGCAAGGATTGTTACTGTTATTTATTATTATCAAGCGCTCCGAGACGCTGCCCTGTGGGAAGGGCGCTATACTAATGCAAGTTGTTGTTGTTGAGTTAGGAGCAGTGTGTACTGCCTGGACAACAAGGGTGGGAAGGTGCAAAGAAGTGGAAAACACTTGAATTGGTGTTAAAAGCAAGTTCTGTTTAATTGTGGGAAATGACGACTCAACCTGTGATATTTATTTTCCCCCTCACTTTGCTCCTGCAGGATGGTTTTCTGTTTGAAGGATGTATCCGCAGCGATCATTCAGTCTCAGGAAGTCATCTTTATCAAATGTCCACCAAAGGTGGAGCAAGTGCTCAGGTAATTACCTCGATCCATAGATATCCCCAGCACAGAATCAGGCCATTCAGCCCATCGTGTCTGTGTCTTTCCCTCAAAAGTAAATCCTTTCAGTCCTCCTTACCTTCCCTTTCACCATACCCCTCTAGCTGACTCTTTTTACGATACCTGTCTATCCCTCCCATCCTCCCATATTTATTGTCTTATAATTCCTGCCTTATATTTTATATTGAATCCTACAGCACAGAAGGAGGTCATTCGGCCCATCGTGCCTGTGCCGGCTCTTTGAAAGAGCTACCAACTAGTCCCACTCCCCTGCTTTGACCCACAGCCCTTTTTAAAAAATTCCTTTACAAGTGTATATCCAATTCCCTTTTGAAACTTACTATTGAATCTGCTTCCACCACTCTTTCCGGCTGTGTATTCCAGATTGTGACAACTCGCTGGGGGGAAAAAAATGTCTCCTCATCTCCCCTCTGGTTCTTTTGCTAATTATCTTAAAGCGGTGTCCTCTGGTTACCGACCCACCAGTTTCTCCTTAGTTGCTCTCGCAAAACCCCTTTATAATCGAGAACACCTTTTGTCATGTACTTTTAGAGCACCAAACCAAACCATCGCAGGACATTACTGAGCGACTGTTTACTGGACTCGTGGGAAGCCAACATTCTGTTCCTGTGACGGGGAGACTAATCCTTTCGATTTCTGTGTATACTTTTCTTTGGAGAGAAAATATTTATTTGTACATAATGTATTAAAAAAACAGTGTAAATATTCTGTACGATAGTTGCACCTGAAGCTGTTGCAACTCATCAAATGCCTATTTTGTGATATTGTGTGATGTACAAATAAGAGATTTTATACATGTGTGTATGTGTGTATAGATATATATATTATAGAGAATGGCAGCCAAAGATGTGCACAGGTCGTGCGTTTTCCCGAGTGCTGCGTATTTTTATAGCGGATTTCACCGTCATATTTTTGTTTCAGTGTCAGGTTGAGCAATGTTTTTTGTTTGTAAGATAAATCTCCAAAACATGGCAACCATTTGTGTACAGCTCGGTCCTACCAACAGTGAAGAATGATTCATCTGCTGGAAGGTTGGCCACAACACTAGGAGATACCCACACGCACACACACACATGCGCGCGCACACACGCTCCCTTTTCCCTACAGTGTCACAGTCGGTCTTAACCCAAGGGCAGCAGCTCCACCCATTTACCCCTAGAATTGCCAGCCGCAACAAAAACCTCGAGCCCACCACCTTCTGAGCATAGAGGCGAGAGACCAGAGTGTCGCTCACTGAGCCAAGCTGACACCTGTCGTCAGATATCCAAGCAGTTGAGGTCAAAGAGTCGTTTTGCACTATTTTACTGTGCTGCAAATGAGCAGTGCAGGAGCATTACACTGATACCTTTCACTCCCCCAGTTACTTAAGACTACATCACGTGACACAATGTGATATTTATGGACGGTCATAAAGTCTGATATGCTTTTACCTTTGGGTGAGAGCAGTGAGACTGGGTGTAAATATGTACAGGTGCTATTTTATTTCAATAAATTTCTGATCTAATCCACTGCTGCCGGCCTGTGATATCTAACTGGGAGCAGGATTGAAAGTTCCTCACGGATCCAGAGGAGAGCTGCGGGGCGGGATGGGGGCAGCAGGGAGTGAGAGGACGTGCCCAGCTTTAAATCGGAAGCTATAAAGTGCATGAATCTCCCCTGAATACTTTCTGGAATCGGGCAACCAGTGGCCATTTCTCCGCGGCGCTGGGTTGCAGACATAGACAGACGTGCACACATGCACACTCACACACGTGTGCCTAGACGTACTACAGACACGTACATCCCTCTCACGTACAAGCGCAGATACACCTGTGCAACCCTCCCCACGCTCACACACAAACAACATTGACTTGCATTTATGTAGCGCCTCTTCACTCGGAGCGCTGACGCACAAGCCAACGCACACACGCACACACCATTGCTGATAAGTATTGCTTTGGGAGGCAACAGGCTCATGTTCCTCCACCCCCCACCACCCACCCACCACCACCCCTGGGGTGGGGGAATTTCTCAAGTTGCTTGTGCTGAGCCATTGCCCCACTCTTCACCTGTTAACGACGTGATGCTGAAAAGCCCCTCGACAAAAACTGCCGGCAATAAATCACCAACCTTTACAACCCATCAGCACCATAAAGCATTCCCAGAGCCTCCGTCCTTTTTCCTGCTCAGTCGCTCATTTGTGGGGACATTTGAAAACTTAATCATTAATTTCCCGTAGCCTTGGTGTGCGAGTTTCTTTTTTTACTGCTTGTACAGGTGATATCTCAGTCAGACAGACATTGGGCTGTGCTTTCCTTCTGGCCTCCTGCCAAACAGCTCCATTTAAGCATCGCAGTTTCCTCTGAAGATCCTCGATTGACACTACAATTCCCATGTATTGAGAGGGGTTGATGAACTACAGTGACCTGAATGATTCATAACAGTATACCAATTGTTCCATTCAAGGCATCCGATAAGATTGCTTTTGGCGGTAGTCGATGTGTTTCTCAGGTCAGCTTGATCTTGCTGGGGTGATATCCTGAAATGGGACGGTGATGGGAGGGGAGTTGGGGGTGGGGGGGGGGGGAGAATGGGAGCGGGGAGGCTTCTTCAATCTTCCCCAACCTGTCTCGTGAGCCGTGGTGGTGTGGAAAGTGGACGGCGCTTGCGGTGTGAAGGAGTGATTTTGTTGTGTGCGTCAAAGTGCGTGTTTGGAGCAATTTATCTTGTTCAATTATATGTTACAAAACAGATCAATAAAGTTGTGTCATCAGTAAAGAAAATAACAACTAGATTTCTTAAGGTGGCTATTAATGTTTCTAAGATATGACTAAGCCCAATAACCGTAATGGACTCTGCCTGAACTCGGGGCCCCTCTTCCTCTGAGCAATAGATTTTGCCCGCAAAATATACAGTCACTCCACTTTACAATACATTCTGTGAAGCACTTTGAGACGTCTCAACGTCGTGATAAGGCGCTATATCAAATGCAACCGTCATTGGAAAGGCGGAACGAGCTGTCGATTTACCTTGTGATTAATTGAGAACTTCAGAACACGAGCCAGTCTCTTTGCTCTCTTGGCCTTTCTCAGGAACTTTATTACGCATGAAAGTTATATTCACAAAACACAAGGCAGAGGCAATAAAGGTTTCAGTAATACACAGAACAGTGATAACACAGAATTCCAGTTGCAGGCCAGAGCTCTTAAAGCTTTTCCAATTACAGAAGGTAAGCGAGATTACTCTGTACAGGGTCTAAAGGGAGTTCAAATATACATTATTTTGGGGCCGATATTGCAGGCTTTCCTAACAGATTTCTTAATTAAGAAAGACGTACGTTTGTGACTCCCAACTTGCCACTTCATTCAATCTATATTAGGAGCTGGGAAAGGACACAGAATCAACCAGGGTGTACAGTACAGTCAGTATGTACAGAATATACAGTGTGTGGAGAGTGTATAGGATCTACAGTGTAGATGGTGTGTGGGTGTTAGATATTCATTGTATACAGTATGTACAGGGCATTTAGAAGGTACAGGGTTTGTAAGGTGTACAGGATATACTGTGTAGACCACATACAGCAGAGAATAATTTGGATGTGTTTCATTTTACATTTGGAAATGCAGGGGTAAGGAACAGCCGTGAGCAGTGGGAGCGTTGCGTGCGCTATCAGCAAGGTCACAAGCGAATTAACGTGCAGATTGTAGGCAACTGAACATAACCTCAATGCCTCAGCCTATTGGGACAGTCTCGAGAGAACTTTAGTAAAAATATCTTATATACAATAGTGTATATTTATGTACATTTATACATTCAATAAATAGTTTGGTCAATAGCAGTTGGAACAGACAGCATAAATCTCTCCTGCTGACCCCACGTGGCAGGAATAGCCTGGGATAACTTTGGGAACAATGTCATCCGATCTCTCCCCATCCAGTTCACGAAGGTTGTAAAGTGTTGTGAGAGAAAGTCCAGAACAAGATACTCACAAGAGCCTGTGTGAGCACAGCTCTGATTTCTACTTAGCGGAAGCCACTTGTTGATGCTTCGGAAAGCTCTGATGGACGATAATGGTGGACGAGGAGACATGCTGTAGATTGTAACCGAGCAGAAGCAATGGAACAATATCACCATTGTCAGGCAGACACCATGGTTCACGGAGTGAGGATGCAAGTCCAGTGAGGTGCTCATCTCCGCCAAATACACGGTGGGCGCCTGTTGTATTGGCCGGGACAAGGTGTGATTAAACACAACCGGTCACAATGCCTTCGGTCTGTGAGGGTCCTTCACGCTTGGATCCAAGAAGCCCACGTTCCCGAACTAGACAATCTGCCAATCCTGAGAGCAGCAGTGAATCTCTCGAGATAATACATAAGAATTTGTTGGATGAAAGAAGACCAAGGTCCATGCAGTTCGACTTCCACCATCCTGGCAGTCGCATTGACGTGTCGTGTCCCGAATGATATCCTGTATCCCGAGATATTATTTCCTAACAGAAATCTCTCTCATTTGTTCTTGAAAGAATCGACACTTTCTGCTTGATGCCTTTGCTCTTTTCTGCAAGTCGTCCAGATGTGCGTTGTTTATTCCCAGCGGGCGGGGGAAATTTGTATATTTCTTTGCTTTTCTTAACCAATCGTCCAATTTCATAGGAAGTCCAAAAGGCGAGAGAAAAAACCTTGGGAAGAGGGAACGCGGGTGGAACATCTGTGGAGAAATGAAGACCGTCAGTGAGGCCACTCCCTATGAGAATGCCTCTCAAGACTGTCGCTGCTTTTGAGCAACAGCTGCAGAATTTCACCAACAGCTGCAGAGCCCATTAAAGCAACACAGCTTCTTCACTCCGATCGCACCAGAACTGTGATTAATTAATTATCATTAATTACAGCGGGACATGGTCCAGATGCCCTTAATCGTGGTGTTGGGTTTCTGCGTGTCACACATGGCTGACCCCCCCCCCCCCCCCCCAAATATATCTCCAAATCATGATCAGTTAATTGCCTGAAGGATTCGCAGGAGATCTGTGTTAAGTCAGATCAGCAATGCGACAAGCACTGTGACTATTGAAAAGGCTTCCCCAACCGCACCTCATCGACGACTGTTGCTCATCCATCCACTTGGACACTTTACAAAAATGACCTCCTCCGTGGGCTGGATCTTTACAAAAGCAGCGCCTTTCGGACAGAACACAATCCTGTATGAATAAAAGAGAAAAAAAACGTCTCAGTGCTCAAGAACATAAGAATTACCAAGGCAAAAGAAGACCAAGGTCCATCCAGTTTGCCTTCCACCATCCTGGCAGTCGCTTGCACATGTCATGTCTCAAACCATATACTGTCTCCTGAGATTCCTAACAGAAATCTCTCTAACTTATTCTTGAAAGAATAGGCACTTACTGCTTCCAAAACATTTGTTTTTCAAGATCTGGGCTCGCAAAAAAGAGGAAAAGCCTTCAGCCCATCGTGTCAGTGCTGTGCTGGTTAATGTTATGGAGCTGGTGAAATCCACTGACTCTGGAGACATGACAAGCAGTACTCTGGACTAACCAAGAGATCTCTTACTTTTTCTGAGTTTCCCCAGATTTCACTCGGATTTTCCGGATTTCCAGGTCTTTGCTGCTCTCTTCTCTGCTGTTCCAGAAGTCCCACACGGACCAGGGATTGGTCACTGTTCCCACGATGGTGGACCACACGGAGGAGGCGGTCTCCCACTGCAGTTTGACTATTAGCAGCTCTCCAATATCAACATCTGTGTGCACCAAGAACGAGTAGGTCTGGTTTGACGAGATCTGTGGTCTGTGGAGGAACACCAAGTATTACAGCAAAAACAGCGAGGCCAAAGGCACAGTCAGTGACATAGGAACACGAGGCTGTTCTTCCAATCAAGTTCGTTCCATGAGTTTATTGGATCACAGCCCATCTTTTAGCAGTAAGTAGGCACCCAGTTGTTAGTCAGTTGGCGGATCGCTTTCCAGGGGTAATAATCCTGTCCCCCCAAAAAATTTGGTCGCTCAATCCACGACTGTTTGTGGGCCACTATTGCGCGCAATTGGCTGTCACATTTCGCCCACAAAGTACTCACATCACAATATATTCCGTGAAGCGCTTTGAGATGTCGCAACACTGTGGTAAGGCGCTATATCAACTGCAAGGATTATTATTATCTTTTAATTCCAATTTCCTGCCACACCTGCCCTAATGGCAAAAGTGACTTTGCTGTTTTACCGGTCCCGGGAGAGGCAGAGGAGGGGAGAGCAAACCAGTTACTCTCGTAGGCATTCCTGAGTTATTAGTAATACAATTGTAATTTTGAATGATGTGGTAATTTTCACGCGGCCCAATATTCATCCCATTGTGTTTAATAGAATAACCGTAACCTCCCTGTGGCACAGAAGGCAGCTCTGTCGCTGTGACAGAAACCTACACAGTGGGAACTCCTGTTACCACGAAATACCTCCCGGCCCCCGCGGATACTCACACTTCAACAGCGAGAGCTCCTGTCTCGTTTCTGGTGCCAAAGAGCGAGATGAGAAACGTTGTACCCTTCTCGGTCCGGTTGATGGTCCTGAAGAAATGGATCTTCAGCTGATAGTGATAAACTGAGAAGAAACCACATCAAGCTATACTGAGCATGTAATAATAATAATAATAGTCCTTGCATTTGATATATGGAGCTTTTCACGTCTTCTAGACATCTCAAAGCGCTTCACAGAATAGACTGTAAAGCGAACTGACTGCATACTTTGTGGGTGAAACGCGGCAGCCATTTGCGCACAGCAGCGTCCCCCACAAACAGTCGTGGATTGAAGCGACCAATTCATTATTGGTATTTTTTTCTTGAGGGATTATTATCAGATGTGTTATGTGGAGTAATATATCGTGTACTACAATCAGTCATCATGCAATTGACTGTCACGTGTCTCCCACAAAATACGCGGTCGATCCACTTTACAATATATTCCGTGTAGCGCTTTGAGACGTGTCAATGGGGACCGGGACGAGGGAACGTGTGTGTGTGTGTAGAGTGGCGGGGGGGGGGTTAAAGAGCGTTCAGCTCATAAGCGCTCCGAGACGCTGCCTCACGTGAAGAGCGCTCTATAAGTACAAGTTCTTGTTGTACCTCGGAAGGGCATGTCCGCTCGTGTCTTCAGGTACATTCTGCCGCTCCGTTTGCTGCGGACTCGGTTCACGTCGTAGCCCATGGTGTTGCAGCGATTCTTCCTGCAGCTCAGGCACATACCTTTCTCGAAGGTCTCCTTGTTGCTGCAGCGGTATGCCATGCTGGGGTACTTTTCGTTGACGAGGGAATCGATGAAGAGGTGGACCGCCCGCTCGTGCTGGCACTTGATGGCTTCGGCCACGGCTGTGTGGAGATTGAATAGCAGCCGTCAAGCTCCCTTTGGCCAAATAAAAGCCTTTAAAGATTGTAATAGGTTTCGAGATCACAGACATTGGGTTGGGCAGTTTACAGTAATTGGTGAGTGCAAGATACGGGACATAAACAGCGTATAAAATAAAGAGTAGTTATTTTAGTTAGTAATTGGGTAATTGCACTTGAGGTACAGATCAGCCATGATCTTATAGAATGGCAGAATAGGCTCGAGGGGCTGAATGGCCTCCTCCTGTTTCTGTGGTGGAGTCAATAATTATTGACTGAAAATTTCACTGCACCCTAATGGATTCAATGCGCCATTCAATGTGCTAATTACGAAACATCGCATTTTCACTGCATCTGAACACCGCAATCACAAAAACAACAAATTGCCTTTCTCAAGCAACTTCAATCGCCCCCAAGTAACAGGTTTTCGCTAACCGTAAACTCCTTGGGATCTCATATTCCCAAACACTCTTCCCAGGTTACATCCGGGCTGGAAGTTGCCTCCGTTGGGATAGATGTCCACGTGGCCCACAGGCTGCTGTATGCCGATACTTCGGCCCAGAGACCCGCGTGTGAACGTGTGGAGGGCGTCCACAAACTCTGCGTCGTCGGGAGAGAGACGATAAGGAGCTTCAGTCCCTTCAAACGCCGGACCGGCCGGGTCCAGACCTGACGACACAGAGGGGGAAAAGGAGTAACATGTCAGACAAGAAACCCAACACCATAGACAACATTCGCTCTTCGGTAATAACTGCCGTAATAGTAAATAACAACAATAATAAATAATAAATACAAATAATAATAAATAATAATAATAAATAATAAATACAAATAATAATAAATGATGATAAATAAAAATAATAATAAATGATGATAAATAAAAATAATAATAAATGATGATAAATAAAAATAATAATAAATGATGATAAGTAAAAATAATAATAAATAATAATCCTTGCATTTGATATAGGGCCTTATCAGAAAAAAAAACCTTTCACCCCGACATGACATTTACCTGTAATTCTGCCCACTTTGTTTGTGCCGTGACTTCCAGCAAATCCAGCCACATGTGCTCCCAGGCTGTAGCCCAGCATGTGAATACGTTCAGAGGGAAAGTTTGAATATTCCTGGAGAAAAGTAAAGACACAACGCACGTAGCAAATAAGACGGCAGTGTAACCTGTTGAATAACCCTTCAAGAGACAGTTAAATATGACAATTAACTGGGAACCAATGAAGGAAGACTAGGAAGCATAATAATAATAATAATAATCCTTGCATTTGATATAGCGCTTTTCACGTCGGGAGGACGTCCCAAAGCGCTTCACAGAACACACTGTAAAGTGAATTGACTGTATATTTGTGGGCGAACGCGGCAGCCAATTGCGCACAGCAATGTCCCACAGACAGTCGTAGATTGAAAATGACCAATTTATTATTGTTTTTGGTTTTGGAGGGATTATTATTAGGCTCTGTGTGGAGTATATACAAAGTATACAAATTCTGGGAGAAGAATTGGGGTGGATTTATGATATTGGATTATGGATTTATGGAATTGGATCCACTCCAAATCCTTGACTGTCCAGCACCTTGGGATGTCCTCCCCGCACAGTCACCTCCAACTAGTGTGTTAGATTCCATTACGTGCACGCTCCCCCGGACTTCCCTCTCCCCCCGCCCACTCCACCCTCCTCCCCATCTCCAAACAGACTGGGCCGCAAATGTTCAGTACTCACCTCCAGCCACTCAACGAATTGGGCGATGTCTTGGCCGACCAGCCTGGTGTTATCGGCTGCCACGGTGTAGTGTTGGTGAGCCCGGCTGAGCCAGTCCACCACAATCACGTTGGAGTTCCGTTCCCTCTCGTAAAGCGCGGAGACCAACTTCGGAATCCAGCTTTCAAACATGCCCATGACCTGCCGAGCAAAGCATCAAAAAAATACAACAGCCATCACTTTCTATACCGCACGCAGCACGTAGCAAAGGGACAAGCCACAAAAGGGGGTGGGAGGTGGGGGGAGGGAGGAAATGTTCGGCTTGTTTTTAAATGAAGAATCAATGGCAGAATTAGAAACGGACCTGTCGACTCTCTCACAATAACAATAGTCATAATTTGGTCGCTCAATCCACGACTGTTTGTGGGGACGCTGCTGTGCGCAATTGGCTGCCGCGTTTCGCCCACAAAATACACAGTCAATTCACTTCACAGTATATTCTGTGAAGCGCTCGGAGGTGTCTCGAAGACGTGATAAGTCGCTACATCAAATGCAAGGATCGTTAGTATTATTGATTATAATCATCCTTGGATTATTGGTAATAATTATTATTATTATTATTAAAGTCAGCAGAGTCTCTTTCCAACTGCGCTTAGTTCTTGTTCCTTGAACGAGGCCTATATATATACGTTAAGCTCCGCAGAGATTAACAGTGTCCTGTGCAAACATCAAACCCCAGTGGATAGTTTAGAATACCGACTAGTGCAGGGGTTCTCTGCTGGAGCTGCCTCTCAGGTAGAAACCTGTGGGAGGTCTCCATGTCTCCATAAACATCTCTCAAACAGGGAGACACACTACTCTGAGGCCTCTCAGCTGGACTCCATCTAGAAGGAAATTTGACGGGAAATTTGATAAAAGCCACCTTTTATAGGCGATCAGAGGAGGAACTTCGGAGTTAACGTGGGTCTTGATCTTGTAATGGAGCTTTTAAACCTGGATGCGTCTTTATAGAGCTTCTATATTAATAGGAGTTCCTGATGGAATAATTCCTCTCTCCGGGGGAGTTCTGACAGCAAGACCCTTCCATATAATGTAACCAGACGATTGGCATTTGATGTGAAGCAGGGCCAGGCTTGCAATCACTGCCGATCTTTTGCACCAGATCGTTCCCGTTTGTTCCCGAACAAATCTGCAGCATTTGCTTCAAATCCGCAGAATTTGCTTCAAATCCAAGGCCCCCAAAATTCTGTACCTTCTCAGGCTTAAGGCCACGGTCTCAAAATTTAGGCCATGCGGAATTTGTGGTGGGAGGATAATAATAATAATCCTTGCATTTGATATAGCGCCTTGTGGAGTCCTGTAGCTCAGTGGTTAGAGCACTCGCTTTGCAAGTGAGAGACCTGAGTTCAATTCCAGGCAGAGGGCGAAACCTTGGGCAAGTTTCCTTACTCCACACAGAGCCTAATAATAATCCCTCCAAAACCAAAAACAATAATAAATTGGTCATTTTCAATCTACGACTGTTTGTGGGACATTGCTGTGCGCAATTGGCTGCCGCGTTCGCCCACAAATATACAGTTAATTCACTTTACAGTGTGTTCTGTGAAGCGCTTTGGGACGTCCTCCTGACGTGAAAAGCGCTATATCAAATGCAAGGATTATTATTATTATTATCACGTTGTGTGTTGCGACGTCTCAAAGCTCTTCGTAGAACGTATTGTAAAGTGGATGGACTGTGTGTTTCGTGGGCGAAACGCGGCCGCCGATTGCGCACGGCAGCGTTCCAGAAACAGTCGTGGAGTGAGTGACCAATTTGCTTTCAAAGGGATTACTACCCCTGACAGGGATTATTATTATTGTCCTTAAAATTGTTCAGGGTCTGTTAACCAGCGGTGGGTGGGTGGGTGGGTGGGGGGGAAACAGAGAGACAAGCGCTGGGGCTGGGATAGGAACCGGCTTCTTGTGTGCCTGGTACTCACCGTCCAGCCGTGGATGATGAGGAAGGTCTTGGTGCTGATGTTGAAGCCGCACTGAGCCACGGATTCCACGCGGCCGGGGGTTAGGAAACAGGAATCGCCCTCGGGGTCTTGTGGGGTGCGGAGAGAGAACCGAGTCTGGATTCCACTGAAGTCTCTCCCTGGTGTGGGGCTGTGGTCTGCGGAACGTCAAGCAACCATTACTGTAGCCCCGCGAGGCACGACAGCCCCTCACCACCAGACACCCACCTTCAAAGCCCACGATAAGACCTTAATCTTTTTGACCGCGCTTTTGGTCACCCTTCCTTCCCCTCCTTCCTCAGCTCCTCCGACCCCGAGCTTTGAAAGGCACGATACAAATGTAAGCTTGTGGTGGTGTTGTGTTGTTGCTGTTGTTGTTACAGTGCCTTTCACGTGGGGTGGGGTGACGGAGAAGGTTTAACGGTCCTTCCCGCTTCTAATACTTTAAGAAGTTTTCCCCACAATTACTTCACGTCTTCCAAATAAAAATGTCAATGAAGGGCAAGGCGCTCTTAAAGTAACTCAGAGCAAGACCGGGGGCAACTTGGGGTTCCGGTGTCTCGGAGTGAGAACGATTTAAACGCTCGAGCAGTGGCAGACCTGCACTGCATCCCACCCAGTCCAGGACCTGCAGACTCCTGAAAACCTCCATGACTTGATCTGCTCCGAGAGGCTCCAAACATTTGCACGATCGTGGGGAGGATTATACTCCGTCTCGTTGATTTATTTTCATATAGAAACAGTCCAATCAAAAATACCTTTTAACCCACTGCCTCACCCAACATTATTAAATGATAATTAGATCATTACTCATTGTTAAATAACAATAATTTGGGTCACTCAATCCACGACTGTTTGTGGGGACGCTACTGTGCGCAATCGGCTGCCGCGTTTTGTCCACAAAATATAGTCAATTCACTTTACAGTATATGCTGTGAAGTGCTTTGAGATGACTCGAAGACGTGATAAGGCACTACATCAACAGTAAGGATTATTATTATTATTACTATTATTAACAACGTTTGAGTAACTCCTACTCGTCACTCGTGCCAGTACCCAGGACCGAAAAAAAGTGTTTTACCTCTGAACCTCAAGCCTGCGTCCCTTTATGTTAGAGCCTGCTGTTCAATAAATAACCCGTGCGCACCCTCCATCCTCCTTGTTCCCAGTAACAGTTACCCCAACGCACACTCTGGGGTTCCCCCCAAGCCTTGGCTCCTGCCAACCTGTGCCTCATACTCTCCAGAATGCGTCACTCCAGGACGAGAGAGAGAGAGAGAGCACATTCCATTCTGACGATCTGTCTCTGGGATTTCCACGTGTAGTTGGGACTCATGGAATTATAATAATAATAATAATAATAATAATAATCCTTGCATTTGATATAGCGCTTTTCACGTCGGGAGGACGTCCCAAAGCGCTTCACAGAACACACTGTAAAGTGAATTGACTGTATATTTGTGGGCGAACGCGGCAGCCAATTGCGCACAGCAATGTCCCACAAACAGTCGTAGATTGAAAATGACCAATTTTATTATTGTTTTTGCTTTTTTTGGAGGGTTTATTATTAGGCTCTGTGTGGAGTAAGGAAACTTGCCCAAGGTTTCGCCCTCTGCCTGGAATTGAACTCAGGTCTCTCGCTTGCAAAGCGAGTGCTCTAACCACTGAGCTACAGGACTCCACTGAATTCTCAGTTTGGTTTGGATTCTACTAACAACAACAACAACTTGCTTTTATACAGTTCACAATGGAGATGGATGCACATGTCTGTGTGAGTCAGTGAATGTGTGTCTCTGTGTGTGTGTCTGTGTGTGTGTCTGTGTGTCTGTCTGTATGTGTGTGTCTGTGTGTGTGTCTGTGTGTCTGTGTGTGTGTGTGTGTTTGTGTGTGTGTCTGTGTGTGTCTGTGTGTGTGTCTGTCTGTATGTGTTTGTGTGTCTGTATGTGTGTGTGTGTCTGTGTATGTGTGTGTGTGTCTGTGTGTGTGTATGTGTGTCTGTGTGTGTGTGTGTGTGTCTGTGTGTGTGTTTGTGCACTTGTATATTGGGCGATTGAAATTGTCAACTGAAACAAATCAACTGATGGGTGGAGGATAAAAGTGACAGCATTTCCTCTCCTCTGAAAGCAAACAGAGTTTGAGCAGCTTTTGTGTTCATTTCAGCCTCACCTCCACAGTGCATTAATGTAATAGCAAAGGTGGATCCCACACACTGTCTGTCCCAGGACAGAATGGGTCATTTTATCCCCACAAAATTACTGCTAACTTTACTGTATATATATATAAATAAAAATACACACACAAAACATAATGAGTCTTACAATAAAGTAATCTATGTGTTTAAACAGCAGCACAGTCGAAGTTCCAGCAATTCCCAAGGGATTTAAACCCCACCTCACATTTAATAATATATAAAGAATAATAATACAGTATATAAATGGTATAAGTGTCTGAGTTATTGCCCAAATAAATGCACCCTAGTCACACCTTCCTTAAAAAAGTAATAAAAAAAACTCTCTCCCTCCCCCCAGCAAATAAATAAAACCACGATGACAAAAAAAAACTTTTCAGTCCATTTAACATAACCCAAACTCATTTAAAAAGTTTTTCTTTAACCCCCTTATGAAAAAAAGTAATAAAAAAAACCTCCCCTTCCCTCCCCACCCCCAAAAAAGAAGCATAAAACCACTCACAGGAGCCTATAAATAATTGAAACACTATCGATGTCCAGTTAATTTCATTTCACTTAAATAATGAAACCCCCTCCCCCCCCTAAAAAAAAAGAAAGTTCAAACTTTTCTTTTACCAGAGTCACTTTGCAGATCTGTTGCAGATGTGTTGGAGAAAGAGACTAAAGAGAGTAAGCAAATGATCCACACAGCTCCTGTCATATCTCCAGTGCTGGGGTGACTAGTATTTTAATAAATAACACACACATATATCTATATATATATGAATATATATGAATATATATGTATGTGTATATCAAACAAGCTGCTGTTAGTAGATTTAAAGTGCTTTAGCCCTGTTGTTCATTAAGCTGCTCTTTCCTCTCTGCTTATAATATCCTGATCACTCTCTTTTTGTAGCTCTCAAACTGCCCTATGCTAATCTCAGCTCCTCTATTGGTCGTTTATTGACTCGAGATTTTTTTGTTGGGGTGGTGGCTTTTCCCTCTTCCCACTCTTCAATCAATGCTAACATTTTTGTTTGCAATTATAGTTCAAAATCAACTCTCCCTCTCTCTCTCTCTCTCTCTCCTCTCTCCCTCCCTCCCTCCCTCTCTTACTCACTCACTCACTCACTCTCACTCACCTAATTCATTCAAAGTGGACACGTAGACCGATTGCCCAAACTTGCCCACTTCCCCCCTACGCTGAACTGCGATTTCAAAGAAGCTTTGAAATAAGATCAGTCAGTCCCCAGCCGGTCAAAGAGACGCAGACTCAATCAGCTCATTATACGCACTCAGGGCAAGTAAGGAGCGAGGGCGGGAGGAGTGAGAGAGAGAGAGAGAGAGAGAGAGAGAGAGAGCGAAGTGGTGATTAGCTTTAATCTAAAAGTAGATGAGTAAGATGCGAAGGACTTAATATTGTGTCGGAGCCCCTGTAGCGCAGTGGTTAGAGCACTCGCCTCGCAAGCGAGAGGTCCTGGGCAGGGCGAAACCTTTGGCAAGTTTCCACAGCCTCTGTTTACCTAGCAGTGAATAGGAACCCGCTTGTTAGTCGATTGGCGGATCTCTTTCCGGAGGTAATAAGAAAAGTAAATAAGTAAAATAATAATAACTTGGTCACTTCAATCCGCGACTGTTGGCGGGGACGCTGCTGTGCGCAATCGGCTGCCGCGTTTCGCCCTCAAAATATCCAGTCAATTCACTTTACAGTATATTCTGTGAAGCGCTTTGAGACGTCTCGAAGACATGATAAGGCGCTATATCAAATGCAAGGATTATTATTATTATTAATGCCTGTAGTGTAGTGACTGTGCATATTTTGCAAGCAAATGCAGCAGCCAATTTGCGCACAGCGATGTCCCCACAAAAAGCAGTGAAGCGAGTGACCAATTTTCATCTGAGGGGTTGTTGGCTTGGACACTGGGTGGGCACATTCTCTTCTCTTTTCGACTGGTTTCACAGGATCTTTAACGTCCACCCGAATGGGCAGATTTTGGTTCAACGTCTCATCTGAAAAATGGCGTCTCTGCCAATGCAGAATGTCAGCCGAGACCGTGAGCTCAAAGAACGTGGCTTACATTACCTTGGGTTAATATAAGTGAGCGCCAGCACAGATATGATGGGCTGAAAGTCGCAGTGACACACAATCAGCTAACGTCTCCAAGCATATCGGTAGGTAGAGGAAATTCCTGATAACTTGACCTTGGCTTAATTTGTCATAGAAACATAGAAACATCTAAATAGGAGGAGCCCATTCAGCCCCTCGAGCCTGTTCCGCCATTCTATAAGATAATGACCGATCTCCACCTCAACCCCAATAACCTGCTCTTTCTGTGTGTCCCTTATATCATACTGTCACTATCCAGGCCGTGTTTATTTACATATTTATACAGGTGGCTAACTCCTCGCTCTAGTTAACTCGTCACTGAGTCCTTTACCCTCGGAGTGACGGGTTATCAGGAGTTTACTGAACTGTTTCAAGCTTCTCCCCATGATTTCCAATTCCCCAACTGCCAGCGAATGAGGAAGAAGATGAAAGCTAAGCTCCCGTGCTGTATCGTGTGCTGTTCGGTTGCGCGCACTGACAACAACAATAAAACAACAACAACAAGATCACATTTGTATAGCGCCTTTCACGTCGGGAGGACGTCCCAATCCTGACGATAATAAACCAACCCCGGGACTCGAGACCTGAGCATATAGTCTGCATTTCCTCTGCCTCTCGTTTCGCAGCAGTGACTCCAACAGAGAACAGTGAAGGACTGTAAAGCTGGCTCGAAGGACACTTTGATTCTAGGGCTTTGCTTGAGTTGCTGTTAACCAGAAGGAAACCCATAATCAGATCGGTAATGGACGTCTGCGAGGAAACGTCTCTGCTTAGGTTCACTGGCACACCACCAATCCCTCCTTCTCTTTGGAAGCTTGAGAAACGCTGAGGAACATGGGGTCCGCTTAAAAGGACTCCAGCAAAATAAATGCTTAAGAAAAAAATCCACCAAATGAATAGCCAACTCCAGACGTGCTCGAGACAAGGCGAATGCAGCAGAATGCTTGAAATGGCTGTAATTATCCTGGCTTGAGGTTCATTCCCGTTACATGCGAGACCGTTGTCGGATGTGCCATCTTTCGGTGGAGACGTTACACCAAGCCGTGCTTTCAGACGCTATGCCCTGAAACTTTGGATCCATCTCCCCTCAGTCGCTCCGCCCTGCCCCCTCCATCCCCTTCTTTTAGATCACGACTTAAGTCCTTCCCCCTTGACAGTGTTTACGGCCACTTCCTCCCTCCCCCGGGTTCGGAGTCAGCCTCCGCTATTGTTTAAAGCGCTCTGAGACTCTGTCCGGCGTGGAGGGTGCTATATAAATCCAAGTTGTTGTTGTTGTTGTTGTTGTTAAGAAACAACAACAAGAGCAACAGTTTGCACTTGTGTAGCGCTGATCTCCCTGACCTGTTTGTCAGGCTACATCCGTCATGAGCGTCACACACAAACTCTGTCGCATGTCCCTCAGACTGTTATTGAGTTGAATAGGAAAGCAAACACTGAACTTTATATTCAAACAGTTTCTGAGGCACAAGTGGTTGCAGACACACCTCCCAGCTCATCCAATTCTGGGGGCAGGGAGTGGGTATTGACATATGGGATTAGCACAGAATTGACATGGATTCAATTCATCACCGATCAGACGTTCAGCCTCTCTACTCCCATCCTTTGGAACTCCATCCCACAGTCTCTTCGCCTCACCCCCACTCTCACTTGCCTCCTTCAAGGTATGCCTCAAGATCCTCCTGTTTGATCGCACCTTCGGTCACCCTCCTACCATTCATCCTCCACACTCCCTGCCCTCTACCCCTGTTGATCCCAACCCCCAAGCTCGGGTGCAAATCCTCGACTGATCAGAGCTTTGGGACGTCCTCCCGACGTGAAGGACACTGTATAAATGTAATTTGTTGTTCTTCTTGCCTCTTCCTCCCACCCCTCCCACATTACTCAGGAGAGCTACCTGTCCTGCATGTTATAACAAGTGGCTTCCTATCATGTGTCAAGAGATCATCCGTCCGTGTAGGACCAACACAGGAGAGAGGAGGGACACGGTGATAAGAGAATTGATTTTTATTGTAGCGTCTCATCATGTCACTTGGAAACATACAGCGACTACACTTTGCAGTAATTCCTGTGAAGCACTTTGAGAGCATCGCGACGAGGGGATCAGGCGCCATATCAAGTGCAAGCATTATTATTAATAATAATAATAAATATTTAATAATAATACTTAAAATAACGTTGGGGTAATTACTGTCAAATGTACTGACTACTTTTGTGGGCAAATGCGGGTGATCCCACAGAGATAAATGCCCATTTTATTTGGGGGAACCGTTGGCTAGGACATTGGGACTAAGTACCTAACCTCGTCTTTCCCAACAGTGTTGTGGCATCTTGATCAATTTCATTCAGGCTGGAGTGCTGGGGAGGGGCCAACTGTACAGCGCCTTGGGACGTCCTCCTGACGTGAAAGGCGCTCTATAAATGGAATCTTGTTGTTGCTGTTGTTGTTGTTGTTGCATGTTGGCGCCTCTGGCAACCGGTGCTCGAGCGCCGCAGATGTTAGGCAGCTCGTCGAGTTCGGGTTAAGGTTGTCTGTAAAATTGCCGAGCTTTGGCAGAGAGCGTGTTCGATGAGCGTCTCAGGTCAGCGCTGTGCTGAATAAGAGGCCTCACCTCGTCAACATGTAGAACAGGCTGCCACCCAGTGGATAGAGTGGAGGCTGATGGTACATTCACACACACACGCGCACACACACACACGCTCTCAAACACCTCTCAAGATCACAGGATTGGTTTGGATGAAGAAAGTCCTACGGGCCATCCGATCTCAACCCTCCAGAACCCCCGCCTTGGAGCGGCAAAGCTGCGGGAATCTCCATTGTTCCCCTTAATGATGGAACGAGCTGAGCCGAACCCACATTCAAGAACTCACTGCAGGAGCTCATTGCCACCCAAACAGTCAGACAGTAGCCCACACTGCCTCTCAAAGCTCCGGTGGTTTCAGCAGTCTTAACAACAACAACTTGCATTTATCTAGCGCCCTTCATGTGGGGTCTCGTCCGCTTTAACCATGAAATAAACATGGTTTATATCCAGACTGATCTCCACACCCCCTCCCCCCCCCCACTGATTCTCGTCTCAGGTGTCAGCTCGCCTCAGACAGTAGCCTCCGTGCCAGAAGATTGTGGGTTTCAAACCCCACGTCAGGAGACTTTGAGCTCACAATCTCGGCTGTCGCTCTGGGGTGGGGGGGGGGGGGAGCACTGGATTGTTACAGGTGACGCCCGTCGGGTGTAGACGTTATAAACCGAGGTCCCGTCTGTGACCGTTCAGGCGGACGTCGAAGATCACACAACACTGTACGGAAGGAGAAGGGCGATTCTCTCGGTGTCCTGGCCTGATATTATAAAATCAATCATTCACGTCTGTGGCTTTTGGCAGGACATTGCTGTGCACAAATTGGCTGCCATGTTTCCCTACAATATATAGAGTCATTGCACTTTACAGTAAATCCTGTGAAGCTTTTGGAGGTATTTTGACAACATAATGAGGTATCAAAATGCAATGATTATTATTATTATTATTCCTGAGACCCAGGAAGACAGGAATGGTCAGGTCTGGAAGAGAACATCTGGCTGGTCCTAAAGTATAGGGAATGCTTGTATCTCAGCACATTGCGACGTCCTCCTGATGCAAAAGGTGCTACAAAATGCAATTTGTTGTTGTTGTTGTGTCTCACACTCAGTGACGTACTGTGCCACTGTGACATACATACAGGGGCTTATGGTAACATGCATACTGAGACATACACAGCGTGATACACCCTGTCACACATACATTGACACACAGTAACACACATACAGTGACCCTGTAATGCACATACAATGACGTGCAAAGAGTAACATACAGCGAAACATACAGTGACACCATCAAACACACACACACACACACACACACACCGTGACACACAGTTTCCGCTGCCTTGGATCCAATGATTGTGAAAATCTATCGACCTTAGTCTTGAAAATTCACTGCGAGAGCGTCACTGAGCCAGTCAGTGCTGTGTGAACGGACGCTGGCAATCGTATAGCAATGCACGGAGTTGAGTGCCGTGTGAGGAGGCGGGCTCCCTTTAGCAGCCTGCTCGCTTACTGACGCTCTCAGTGTCTCTGCGTGAGACCTGCTTACATCTGGAGTTAACTACAGCTCAGAGCAGTCCTGGGAAGGATT